CCCATGTAATAATAATAATAAGTGTTTATTCACCATTAAAGTAGATTCAATACAGACAAAAAAAGGAAACAGAAAACAACTTTCAGTATAAAAGTGGTTGGCGGAGTATCAGCCAAGGTTGTTTTTCATTTTCATCTCAACCATTAATTATCTAAAAGTCACATTAATTGAAAAAATCATGTTTGAAATGGTTTACTGTGATGTCTAGTTGGACTCTTTGGAGAATGAAAAATTGTAAATCATTGTATTATGAGAAGATGAAAACGTGCAAAAATTAAATGTTTTCTGATTTTTAAATATTAGTTTTCAAATGGTTCAAACAAGAGAAAAGTTATAACTGCAATATTTGTCAATACATAAGAATTTAACTCATTAGGTTTCACTGATATACTCAAGAAAATTATGGTGATTATCATTCTTACAGTAAGTATATGATTTTTAAATTGATTGATTGAAGTTAGAGGCATGAATTGAGGTGAAATTTTGGAGCCAGAAATGGTTTTTCATAATCTCCATCGAAACAAGACTCTTTACCGAAAAAATTTACAGGATGCAAATAATAAAAATAGATGCCTCTGCAATATTCGTATATCGAGTCTTTTGTGGATTTGCATTTACTCAATTACGAATACCTATTCATCTATTTTGGGCAACAGAAAGTCGTTAATCACACGGTAGCGCTCGCCATTCACAGTAACATTCCAGCCATTGTCGTCTTTGAAGAAGTACGGCCCGATGATGCTACCGACCCATAATCCACACCGAACAGTGTCTTTTTCGGGATGCATCAGTAGCTCTTGCAATGCTTGTGGCTGGTTTTCACTCCAGATGCAGCAATTTTGCTCGTTAACGTATCTATTCAATCAGAAATGAGCCTCGTCGGTAAACACAACGATAAAAATGTGAATCTTCCCTCCAACTTTGCCAGCGCCCATTCACCAAATGTTAGACGTTGTGGGAGGTCGTGTGGCTTCAATTCTTGCACCACCTGTATCTTATAATGTTTTACACCCAAATCCTTTCGCAAAATTTTCCACGTAGTGGAGTAACAGAGACCCAATTGCTGCGAACGGCGGCGAATCGACATTTCACGGTCATCACGAACACTGGCGGATACAGCCGCAATATTTTCTTCGGTCCTCACTCTACGTATGCGCGTTGGTGGTTTAATGTCAAATGATATAAAGTGGGTTCGAAATATAGTCACAAGCTTCCGAATAGCTCCCTCAGTAGGCCGACAAAACTGCTCATAAGTTAGAAGATGCACTTTCTTCACCGAGCATGAATTTTGATAATAAAATTCAATAATTTGCAAGCGTTGTTCATTCGTAAATCGATTCATGGTTAAATTATAGATTGAACAAGTTTAGCAATGACGCTAGGCACGATTCACGCGTGATCTGTCAAAAACAGTGTTGCCAAAAAGATACCAGCAAAAAAATCACTCGTTACAATGATAAACTCTTCTGAAACCATCGGTCTTAGTACTAAACGTTTTTGGGAACTCTCAAGGTCACACATTAATGGTAAAGACCAAAACAAGAACATGAAACGTTATAAAAATGCTTTCATGAAAACACATACACATTGAAGTTTTTTCTTGATACTGAAATGGAGACAAGAACGAGGACTAAGATGTCATTGAAAAAAAATATAGTCGAATATAGTCGGTGATATAATTTTTCGATACCATTTATACAATACGATTTGTCTTTGGGCTCAAAATAATCCTCAATTTATTTCCAGCGAGTATTCTCTTGAGGTCTGAAAACAGAAAAAGTCGCTGGGTGCAGATCTGGAGAATACGGTGGATGCGGAGCAATTCGATGCCCAATTCATACAATTTTGCCATCATTTTCATTGATTTGTGACACGGAGCATTGTCTTCATTTAATGTAATAGTCCCTGTTGATGGTTTTCCCTTTTCAGGATAGTCGATGAATATTATACTATGCGCATCCCAAAATAATGATACCATAACCTTGCTAGCCGACTGTTGCGTCCTTGCACGCTTTGGAGTCGGTTCATCACGTGCAGTTCACTCAGATGACGATCATTTTGGTTCTGGAGTGAAATAATGAAGCCGTGTTTCATCCATTGTATCATATCGACACATAAATTCGGAATTTTCAGGGTGAAACAGCTCCAAACACTGCTCAATCATCAATTCGTTGTTGTTTTTGTCGATTGTAGGGTCGCGCGGCACCCTCTTTGAATATAGCCAAATACCCAAATATTCATGAACGATATGTCCAACACGTACCTCTGATATCTTTAGACTTTAGAGCCTCAGCTATATTTACTTTGCGGGCATAATTATAATAAGCGTCAGGCGCTTATCAAAGAGCCTGACGTTCGCTTCGCTTTTCTCAGGTCGAGTGGGCTGAGGGGTTCATCATGGCTTGCCAGGATGGTGTCTTCAACACCTTAGTCTACCGCAGTTGCGTGATGGGTATAGAGGTTCCTGACACAAGGTGCCTGCCGCGAGGCGCCCGAGACCCTAATGCACTTGCTATCAGCATGTCCAGCATATGCGGTCTCGGCCTATATCCATCGACATAACGCGGTCCTTAGAGTGCTATATTACTATCTACGGCGCTCTTACGGTATTGACGAGACACCGGTGTTGCCCTACGCTCCGGGGGATATTGAATCCGTTGTGGAGAACGAGAAGTGCCGAATATATTGGAACTATTCGTTCCCCACCCTCAGGCTCATACAAGCTAATAAGCCTGATGTAGTCCTTCCCGACCACCAGAGCAAGACGATATTTGTCGTGGAGTTTTCAGCTCCTAGCGAAACGAATATCGTCAGAAAAGAGGAGGAAAAGCGGATAAAATATCGAGATTTTCTCTTCGAACTCCGCAGACTTCATCCAGATCACTCTGTCAAGATGGTTGTTCTGATTATTGGAGTCCTTGGTGGAATGATGTCCTCTGTACTCTCAAATCTTAAAATCATACCGGCTTGCCGCACTAAGGCTGAAGTCTTAGCCGCACAGATGCAGAAGGCTGTAATTCTTGGCTCACTGCGCTTGCACAGGGCACATGATTCTCGGATCCAATTATCACTCAGTCCACGGTGTGGGGAGTGGTCACTGGTTGATAATGCTGGCGCGCCCTCCCGAATGTATCGGGGCTTTGGGGGATAGGGCCTGACCAGCGCACACTACGTTGAAGAAATAATAATAATATTGATAATGTCTTTTATTTCCCAAAGTAAAAAAAAGAAAGTACACATAGGAAATACAATGGGTTTGGTAAAATCCTGGAGCGGAATTCAGGAGACAAGCGTGTGCAACACGCCGAATCCTGTTCTTCCTTTCAACTCCTTTACAATATACAAAACTTAAAAGTATTCATCGAACATATGACGTACAAAAAATTATAGTACCTATGTAGTAAGAGAGAGAAAAAAAGTAAAAGGAATAAAAGAGGGATAATTCATAATGCTTACAGAATGACTTGAATTTTTGCATTTTATGCGAGACTTTAGTTGCACGATAGCTGCCTTTCATATGGCCAGTTACGAGACTGAAGCTTGAAAAGTGGCAGTTTAAATTTTTTAGATATGTGGGATGTAATGAGTGCAGATAGAAAAACTGAACAATCTCTCAAACAGAACATGAAGTGTTCATTTTCACGAAATCGAACTTTATCATAAAGATACTGCGGTGATTTGTTGATGATTATATTGTGAAATAAGTGAGGGAGCTTTCCTGCAGGGGCAGCCGGTTCCTTGCCTCTATTCAAGACGGAGCCGCAAGAAGCCGCAAGAAGTGCCCTTGCTGTTGAAGGTGGAGTGGGGGAGGAGGAGGGTGCACTTATAGTTGCTGCCACTCCTGCCTATTCCGCTCCCTTTCTCCTTTTGGTCTCGGCTCCGCAAATGCGCTTATGCCTTAGCCTTTGTATTACATCACGAGTTGATCTGCTATGTCCAGCCTCATTCCAAGCGGTAGATTGGGGAGGTCATTTCTGTTCATCCCCAGCCACCGCTGGACTTATATCCAGCCTCGGGATTGGTTTTTGTTTTTGTGTTTGTTTCATTCATGTGTGTTCCCACGAGTAGCAAGGGACGAGTTGGTCACCTCTGGCAGAGCCCCGCATTACCATAGGAAGGCTAATTACAATGAGGTTTCGCCCAGTTCCCCACTACCCTATCCCGCATCTGCGGGCAACAGGCGTTGGCCGATTTCAAGCTAGATGTGTGGAGCTGCCGATGGTCCTGTCTCTTGGTTAGCCACACTAAGTAGATGTAAGGAAGCAATTCCGGGTTCGGTGAGCGGGAGGAAGCCCTGCGAAATCCTGTTTGTGTGGGGTGAGGGGCGGTACCCGCAAGGATTTCCCGAAAATCCACCCCTCCACGCCCGATCGCATCCAACGCCAGGGTACGGCACGATTCCTTACACCTTAGCTTGGGTAGGCTGGTCCACGGTGGCATGTTTCGCAAAGGTTTTTGGGGAGTTTTAGTTCCCCTCACCTTACTTATTTCTGCCACTGACCAGGAGCCCGGCGACCCCGTTCGTAAGGCCACATAGTGGCTTCCCGCACAGGGCCTCCAGTCCCCTTGCCGTTCCCCTATCCGCCACCTGGGGACGCGCCCGATAGGTAGCCCAATAACCCACGGGGTAATCATGCCTCAGCCACCGTATTCATCAGATTTGGCCCCCTGCGACATAAAAGACCGGCATTTTGCGACGATTGAGGCGATGAAAACGGAATCCCTGAGAGAGCTCAAGGACATACCAGAAAGTGCAGAGCTGCATGGAGGATTGGAAAAAACGCTGACACAAGTGTATTATATCTGAGGGGGACTACTTTGAAGGGAACAAAATAAAAATGAATAGTTCTCGATAAAAATGGAAATTCACCGTATACCTAATATTGAAAATGAATCCTCTAAAATGCAAAAAAATATTCCTTAGGAAAATTTACCTTACCATATTTCAGAAAATTATTTAATTCATCACTGAGAATATAATACTGGCTGATTTTTTGCAGATGATGCATATGCAATATCAGTTCGATGGTACAAAAACGAAGATCTCTTAGCAGACAGCGCCAATGAAACGACACCTCTTCCAGAGCGGCATGTCTTGTGGGAAAACGGTTCGCTGGAAATATCCAGAGTACAACCTGGTGATACGGGTGAATATACGTGCGAAATTGAAAGAACTGAACCTTGGGGCCCCGTCAAGCAAAAGCATGCAATCGAAGTACTGCGTAAGTAATTGAACTAACTCACCTTACATTTATTCTTATGAAACAGATATATATAAAACCAAATTTTCATATTCTGTTGGATAGTTAATAATAATAATCTCAAAATCATACCGGCTTGTCGCTTCAAGCCAGAAATCTCAGACTCCAGGAATATTTGAGCAAATACGTGGCTCAATGCGCCGACGTCTAGACGCATGCGTAATGTCTGAAGGTAGACATATTGAACATTTACTATGATTTCTACATGTTGTGTGTTTTGCAATTAATACATTAGTTTTGTTTATTACCCTTTAATCGTTTAATACAGGTACTAACTACAAAATAACAATAAATCCAGTTCGCATTTATGACGATTTATCTCTGTAGTTGTTCGTAAAATAATTTTTTGCTGCGAACTGGTTCATTTTGCGCAAAAACCCAAGAGACATTTTTTGTTTAGAATGAAACAGGCTATCGGAAACAAATTTTTAAATGGTAAACAAATAATAAGACACAAAGTTACATTGGAAATTAATTTTAGGGGTTGCGTTTTCCACCCCTTACAACCATGGGGTAAACCAAATAAATTACTGGCTAAGTGTCTTTTTGGTAGTACAAAACGTCAGGTTAATTTCAATATTGTAACTTTTTCAGTGCTTGTGAAAAAATTTTTTATACAAATGTTATATACCCCCTTTAAGAGGCTGTATCTTAACAAGGGATGCTCCAATGAAGTTTCTTTATATGAAAGATCCTATCTTTGTTTCGATGAGGAATCACCTCCTTAAATGTTTTACACTTATTCAGTTACACCCTAGATAATTAAAATAAAAAATCTTACAGACTCACCTTCGGTAGAACCGTTTCCGCCTACTGGATTTTTACAAGTCAAACTAGGAGAGGAAGTGAGGATGTCTTGCAGAGGAGGAGGAGTACCTTATCCTATTATCACTTGGTCCAGCAAAGTGAGTATACTATTTCGTGGGCCAAACTTCATTTACGGATCATGTGACGGAGGCTGGTTTGTTTTCAGGGAGAAGAACTGAAGCTAATTGACAACCGAGAAGTTCTGAAATTTACCGCGTCTGACCGACAGATGGCAGGTACTTATGAATGCACAGCTGCAAATGGCGTTGGTGAACCAGCTAAAGCTACTATAGATTTAAATATAATCTGTGAGTTTATTTTTGTTACGCCTATGGGTTTTCATAAATATACAGGGAGCTCATCAATTTACTTCTCTGGATATTTTCACAAAAATCTAATAAAACCATTCTATATATCATTACGTGTTCTCTTAATTTTTGTATCTTTCAAATACACAATTATGTATTGCAAAAGTTTATGGGAAAGAAAGGTTTTAAGCTTTCTACTTCTCTGAATTTATCAAAAAAATTAGGAAAACTTCCAAAGGAAGGAAGAAGCTATTGATTTCAAAATATACTCTTTACAAGGGTGTGTAGATCATGCAAAGAAGTAACTTTTAGGACAAACCTGAAAAAAGCCTTCATGTAAACATTGAATTAGACGAAAGGAAAATACTTTCGAAAACAATTAGTTTTGTATGAACACTGAATTATACAAAAAAACACTCTTCTCTAGTCAGTTTCTATTCCTAACATTTATTGTGGAATTGAATCAGATTTCATTCACAAAATTTCTACATGGAATAGTATGCAAAAGAGTTAAAATTTCACTGAGATAGAACACTGTCATCCTCAATGGCGAACATCGATGTTTCGGAATAAGACACATGTCATTGCCTCTTCAGCACCATTCTGGGTAACATCAAAAGTCAAGCATTCAGTTCATTCATAACATTATGAATTTGTCACGAATTCGTCAAATCTACTCATGCCATCGCTGACAGTACGTAATGACATTCATTCGCTCATTTCATTTATTCTCAGTCATAGGAATAGTTAAATGGGAGTCCTGAAAGTCTGCGAGTCAAAAAAACCATATTTGTTGTGTTGTGTAAACTATTTTTTCGGCAACCATGTAAAATAACAAATCAGTGAGACACATTTCTTCATTATATTTCTTTGTTGAGCAGTGGTAATTGATTTTTTGATGATTTTGAGGGATAAATTATACAGCATCAAAACCATTTCATCTCTTGTGATATCCTATTGTAAAAAATCCATACGCTAGATAATAATAAATATCTCTTGTAAATAATGAAATATATTTCCAAGATCCTCCAGAGGTGATGACGACTAGGTCCTGGATACACACTGCTCCAGGGCACAGACTCCAGATAGATTGCAAAGTTTCTGCGGATCCACAAGCGACAGTAACCTGGTTGAAAGGAGAGATACCGGTACCGTTAGATACAAGGGTTGTGAAAATAGTAGATGGTGATAAACATACACTGTTGATAAGGAAAATGCAGAGGAGTGATTTTGGTATCTACACCTGCAGAGCCATTAACGAACTCGGGCAAGGCGAAATAGTTATACAAGTTTCAGGTAACTACGAAACGTTTCCAGCAACGAAAGGTTTTGGCTTTCTATTTCTTCATCTTTATACAAGGAATTTGGAGTTTTCCAATGAAACTACAAACCTTATTTAAAAAATTGATCTCTTCTAAAAATATATCTCTTTCAATTATTCCTATGAAACTTCCACGATCTTTTGGATTCTCCACAATAACTCAGGTTCAAATATTGAACAAATCTTTGAAGATCTGTTCTTTTTTGAATATGTTTACGTTTGAGATTCTTTGAATCAATCAATTTCATTCAGGAAAGTGGTTGGAAGTTGATCGAGGGTCAAAATGGCGTTTAAAACAAAAATATACTTTTATTCATTAAGTTTGAACTTTGACGTTAACGTTATGAAACGTACTACTTACCATAGAATTCTTGAGAACTGTTTACGCTTTTCAAATAAAAATCTCTTAACTCATCAAAACATGGCTATAACAAATAATCTCAAATTACTTACTTGTGGCTTCAATAATAGTCCAACTAACTATTCAATTTTCGTTCAAATAATATGATTAAAATATATAGTTTTGTCAATATTCTTGAGAAATTACCAGTTGAAGGGATATTTCTAAATTTATACTAGGTTTGTTGACAAAATTCACTTTATTTTTTTAAAAGATCCAGTATATTCTATTAACTAACATAGGTGTGACATAAAATGGAAAAATCTATACTTACAGCAATTACAAATGAGAGAGTCATCAATTTATCTAAAATTCAGAGCCAGTGAATTTTTCTAAAGCAGATTCGAACTTAGACTTCTTGATCTTTTCAGTCCAGTTTTTTTTTGTTTGTATCGGTGTTGGTCAATTGAATCGCTAACTTGAAAGTTACAGGAGTATTAATGTTTTTCCTCAAAAAAAAGACAAATAATAACTGTAAGGATAGGGATAGGAAAAAATTGGCCATATACAGTGTGTCTCACTTCTTATGGAAACACCCCCGTATCTTCCGTAATATTCGAGGTAGAACGATGAAACTATCAGGACTGATGGAAATGCTCAAAATGCACCTACCACCAGAATGGGGTTGGCTAAAGTGATATACACTGTCCGCCACTCGCGATGGAACACCCCATTTTTACTGCGGACGGACAGTGTATATTACTTTCGCCAACCCCATTTAGGTGCTAGGTGCATTTTGAGCATTTCCATCAGTTCTAAGAGTTTCATTGTTCCACCTCGAATATTACGGAAGTTACGGGGGTGTTTCCATGAGAAGTGAGACAAATTCAGATTTTTCAGGACTGAAATTTTTTCAGGAAAAAAGTGTAATCGCAGTAAGTTGGTAGTCCTGATCACGAATCTGAAGGAATTTTGAGCCTATTTTGCCCCTAATATCTTTTACCCTAAAAATGGGGTGTTCCATCGCGAGTGGCGGACAGTGTATATGTATATAACTCGCGATGGAACACCCCATTTTTACTGCGGACGGACGGTGTATATTACTTTGGTCAATCCCATTCAGGTGGTAGGTGCATTTTGAGCATTTCCAAGAGGACTGAGAGTTTCATCGTTTCACTTCGAATATTAAGGAAGATACGGGGGTGTTTCCATAAGAAGTGAGACAAATTCAGATTTTTCAGGATTGAAATTTTTTCAGGAAAAAAGTGTAATCGTAGTAAGTTGGTAGTCCTGGTCACGAATCTGAAGGAATTTTGAGCCTATTGTGGCGGACAGTGTATATAACTCGCGATGGCACACCCCATTTTTACTGCGGACGGACGGTGTATATTACTTTGGTCAACCCCATTCAGGTGGTAGGTGCATTTTGAGCATTTCCAAGAGGACTGAGAGTTTCATCGTTTCACTTCGAATATTACGGAAGATACGGGGGTGTTTCCATAAGAAGTGAGTCAAATTCAGATTTTTCAGGATTGAAATTTTTTCAGAAAAAAAATGAAATCGTAGTAAGTTGGTAGTCCTGATCACGAATCTGAAGGAATTTTGAGCCTATTTTGCCCCCTAATATGTTTTACCGTAAAAATGGGGTGTTCCATCGCGAGTGGCGGACAGTGTATATAACTCGCGATGAAACACCCCATTTTTACTGCGGACGGACAGTGTATATTACTTTGGTCAACCTCATTCAGGTGGTAGGTGCATTTAGAGCATTTCCAAGAGGACTGAGAGTTTCATCGTTCCACCTCGAATATTACGGAAGATACGGGGGTGTTTCCATAAGAAGTGAGACAAATTCAGTTTTTTCAGGATTGAAATTTTTTCAGGAAAAAAGTGTAATCGTAGTAAGTTGGTAGTCCTGATCACGAATCTGAAGGAATTTTGAGCCTATTTTGCCCCCTAATGTTTTACCGTAAAAATGGGGTGTTCCATCGCGAGTGGCGGGCAGTGTATATCACTTTGGCCAACCCCATTCAGGTGGTAGGTGCATTTTGAGCATTTTCATCAGTCCAGAGAGTTTCATCATGCTACCTCGAATATTACGGAAGATATGGGGGTGTTTCTACCTTGATTATGAGTATGATTTTAAGCCCGATATCTAGGGTAAGGTCGTGGAAACTTCCAGTTTTTCTTACCGATCCAGCGAGTCAAAGGAAGGATTTTTTTTGCTACTCAATACCCAATCACACAATAAAGTTTATCGAATTAGACCCACCAATTGCAAGTTGTTATTTTCTTTTCAATACATGCTCATTTCATTCACATTGACAGTTTGTTATAATCTACATCCTCAAAATTTACGTATGATTTATTGAAATAATTTGCATTATTTTACCTACTGAAATTGATGATGGTATTGAAGTTTCTGTTTCCCCCGCTAGTTTCTGATATTTTTCAGTGAGGCGCCAAATAATAATAATAGCTTCATTTCCAACAGTTACCATTTACAGGACAATATAATTTTTTTTTCACAATACTTAACTATAAACGAAAAACAAAATGAACAAAAAAGAAAAACTAATTCTAATTACCTACTTCAAGTACATGTTAGCAATTCTAATAATGTTATGACGGTTAGTGAAGAATAAATCACCATGGGCACAAATGCTATTAAAATGTGTGCACATAACATATATTGAGGAATTGAGGATAATGTTAGTTCTTGCTCTGAGAGGTCTAAAAATGGATTGAAATCCTGAAGCTGGCCGTGGTACATTGAAGTTAATTTTTCCAAGAATTTTAGGACAGTCAACTCTCTCATTCACTAACTTGAATGAAAATATGAGCGACGCACATTTTCTGTGATGCTCTAAACTAAAAAGTTCCACACGTTCATAAATGACATCATTACTGATACCTCTCTCGGGGTAAGAACCATCTATTCTGAAAATTAGAAATGTACAAAACTTTCTTTGAACTCTTTCAGTGGCTATGTTATGAATCTCAAAGAATGGACTCCAGACGATACTTGCATATTCTATCTTCGAACGTACGTAGGTGAAGTACAACAGCTTAATGGCTTTAATATTAAGAAAGTTTCTGCAATTTCTAACAATGAAACCATAAGCTCTGAAAGATTCTGAAACTTTTTGTGAAATTTGTCTACCAAATGTTAATTTATGTACTTATGATGCACTGTTTGGAACCTTTGGTGTAGTAATGAATATTACTGGAGTTTTTTCCCAGCACCAAATCGTCATTTTTAACACCTCGACACGTGTTTTGATCACCAAGTGATCATCTTCAAAGAGGAAGATTAAAACTTCCAGTAATATTTGTTAATTCATGATGGAATATTATATCGATATTATAAAATTATCATAAATAAATGATATAAAACACATTGAAACATAACATAGCATTTAATCAGAAAAAAATAAAAATTTATGTGTACATGGACATATTAAAATGGTTGAATGATACTAAAACAGTTTACATGATAATCAAATAAAAAAAATTAATGGTATTAAATTAAACATTACAATTTAGAGAAAATCATCACAGGAAAGTCCTATTGTGAAGAAATCGACGAACTTTTACAACATCCACAGGAGTTTTATTACATACTTGTATGTGGTAAATATATAGTTCTTGTAAGTTATTAAAAAATAGGATATATAAGCAAGAATATAAAAATGGAATATGAATCAAAACAATATATAATCGTATTCAAAACACATACACCTCATATCAGTTCTCTATTATTAATCCAGCCCTCCATTACTCTGTGTAATTTTGTTTTGTACGTTTCTTCAACAAATGACAGGAGTTGGTTTTTAAAGCCTTTCAAAAAAGTTTCATTGATTATTGTTTGTGGTAGTTGCCTGAATGATTTTGGTGCTAAGTAGGAGTAATTTTTTGACCTATTGTTTTTGAAGTTGGTATACAATATTAATTCTTTGATCTTGTCACGTATATAGGGCTTTAGTGGTAAGTTCGTTTATATTTTTATACTGCATGACAACTTACTAAAAGTATACATGAAACTAATGAAACGACTTAAAAAATGTATGAACATTACTCAAAATATAACGAACAAAAAACAGAAGTATAATATTAAAACTTATCAATTTCCACATATTCAAATGAGGAAAGCACTAGAAAATTAAATTATTTAGATAAATTATCATTATTGATGAATAGAGCTATAGAGATAATATTTGAAAACTGTGGAGCATACCTAATTTGCATTCAGTATACTTTTTGAGAAAGTAAAAATAAATTGACAGAAAACACCTATTCCTGAATTTTGTCTACATGAAATACTTTTGTTATATTTCATCATCATGATCAATTCTATAAGGACCAGGACAATTTTCTTTCAAATCTTCCGTATCTGTACCTGTTATGCAACAGTACAGGCAATACAAGTGTTTTCTTCTTAGATAGGTTATAATTGCAAACAGATTTTCTTCTGTTATATACATTTCAAATTCATCATCTTCTTCGCTGCTATCCGAGTCGGTGGTATCAGCCTTTTGAATTTTTCTTTTTTTCTTTATAGTTTCCTTCGTCCAGAAAAAGTCCTCTATGGGATCTTCAATTTTACTTCTGAAATCTAATTCTTCACATACTTTTTGAGCCTTGAAAAAATCTTTTTTTATTTGGGATAGATTCTTTCTCTCTTTTACAGCAAACCTGAAACGTTCCTCGCAGAACTGAACGTTTTGTATTTTCTGTTCATTTCTTTTTCTAAACACTTCTTTCAAGTGAGTTTCTCTACCAATTCCTGAGGTGCCTTGTTTATGTATAATATCGATAGGTTCCCTAATGCCACTTCTTGATTTTCCAAGGGCACCTCCTGCTTGGAAACCCATTTTTTCTAATAACTTGAATCCTTTATTTTCATTGGAGATGGCTGTCTTCAAACCCTTGTCGCGATACTCCTGCTCGAGTTCACGAACCGATTTTTGTTTCTTTTTGGAAGCATCCAGTGTTTTTTTGAAAATATCCAATTTACGTTTTTCCCTGTTGAATACTAGACTTGGGCGGACGTCGCTTTTATCGTCTATTTTCAAGGACATGTAGTCATCTTCAGAATCTGACATGGTTTTGAAATATTCAGTTTCCTTCAAACAGAATAATAAAAGGAATTAGCCAGGAGAAATAGAAAACTACATCTATTTAAATCCTTGCAACACTATAACTGAAAGTAATTGAAATGTTCACACTTTATATAGATAAGCATCCCCAGAATCAGGATCAAATTCAAAAATTTACCTGCCAAATACAATTCCTTCAGGTATTTTTCCTGGAACACTCATAAATTCTAAATAGGTACCTGTAAGGGTCATAGGTAAAAATTGATAATGCCTTTGATTTCTAGAGGCAAAAAAGTGTGTCAGGGTTTTTGCAAAAAAAACTAATTTTGTGAGACATTTATCATTTGTAACTATTGAACATTTTATTAAATATAATGAGTTGCAGACATGAAAATCTGGTAGTAGAAAGAAACACTGATAATAAATCCAATCTTTTCTTTTTTCACTATATCAAGATGGGAAAGTTATAATAATAATAATAATGTTTTTATTCCTTTGAAATGATCATCTAACAATGATATAGGAAACGTCAAGTAAAAAAAATATGTAGATGTATAATACAGAGTGAATAAATAACATAGAGATTACAGTACATTGGTCACAAGTATTTGGAAGTATATTCAAAATACTCATTGATAGAATAAAAACATCCCTCTAAAAGGTAGGTATTCTTTAACTTTCCGTTTGAAAGTAGACATTAATGGGATACTCTTAATATTTAAAAGCAGAGAATTGAATAGCTTGGAGCCTGCTAGTGAGGGTGATTTTTGAAACAATCTCGTACGATGTTGCTGCAGTTTAATTAGATTTCCATTTCTGTATTACCCAAGTTAAAGTAAGTGTTGTGAAAAGAAGTGAATTGTAGAAGATTTAATTACCATGGAGTTTGGTATAAACATGGAGGATGACATTGAGCACTTATTGCAAATGGAACCTGTTATGAACATGGAGGAAGACATTGAGGACTTAATGCAAATGGAATCTGTAGCGGAAATCGAAGCACCTGCAAGAGAAGAACAGACAATCGAGAAACGGTGCCATATCAAATTGTCAGATGAACCGCTTACTCTAAACTTCGAACGGGACATATGTAACTCAAAATGTTGGGAGTGGAATTATTGCTCGTCTACTTTCCTGACTATTTTCCAATTTTTGACGCATCTGGTGACGCATGTCAAGGAGGATACGAGCATTGGGAGCGAGTCCAAAAATGAAAAGGTTCCCTGTTGCTGGAGGGGTTGTAAAGCAAAATTTTTGATCCGCACCAAATTAGCAGATCATGGAGTTTGTTATAAACATGGAGGAAGATATTGAGGACTTATTGCAAATGAAACCTCTACCGGAAGTCAAGGGACTTGCAAATGGAATCTGTAGCGGAAATCACAGCATCTGCAAGAGAGGAACAGACAATCGAGAAACGGTGCCATATCAAATTGTCAGATGAACCGCTTACTCTAAACTTCGAACGGGACATATGCGAAATACACTGCAATTCTTGGGAAGCGATCGATGTCCATTTGATGAACCACGTTACTGTCGATTAGGGCAACTCAAAATGTTCATAGACCGATTGAGAACATGACGCCATTTCCACCGACGCATTGATGAATTACTTGTCGCTTCACGGGTATTTTTCGAAGCTAACAAATATTGGCCAAAATTCAGTGGGGAGAATTGGTTTGCCGCCGGATTGCAACTAGAAGAAAGTAGTGAGGATACCGAATAATATGTCTGGCTACAGTTGCGAGTGGAATTATTGCTCGTCTACTTTCCTGACTAATTTTCAATTTTTGACGCATCTGGTGACGCATGTCAAGGAGGATACGAGCGTTGGGAGAGAGTCCAAAAATGAAAAGGTTCCCTGTTGCTGGAGGGGTTGTAAAGCAAAATGTTTGATCCGCACCAAATTAGCAGATCATGGAGTTTGTTATAAACATGAAAGAAGACATTGAGGACTTATTGCAAATGGAACCTCTACCGGAAGTCGAGGGACTTGCAAATGGAATCTGTAGCGGAAATCACAGCATCTGCAAGAGAGGAACAGACAATCGAGAAACGGTGCCATATCAAATTGTCAGATGAACCGCTTACTCTAAAGTTCGAATGGGACATATGCGAAATACAGTGCAATTCTTGGGAAGCGATCGATGTCCATTTGATGAACCACGTTACTGTCGATTCGGGCAACTCAAAATGTTCATGGACCGACTTAGAACATGACGCCATTTCCACCGACGCATTGATGAATCACTTGTCGCTTCACGGGTATTTTTCGAAGCTAACAAATATTGGCCAAAATTCAGTGGGGAGAATTAGTTTGCCGCCGGATTGCAACCAGAAGAAAGTAGTGAAGATACCGAATAATATGTCTGACTACAGTTGCGAGTGGAATTATTGCTCGTCTACTTTCCTGACTATTTTCCAATTTTTCATCTGGTGACGCATGTCAAGGAGGATACGAGCGTTGGGAGAGTCCAAAAATGAAAAGGTTCCCTGTTGCTGGAGGGGTTGTAAAGCAAAATTTTTGACTCGCACCAAATTAGCAGATCACTTGGTGACTCACTCAGAAGAGAAAGTGATTGGTTGTTCTACGTGTTTAGCCACATTTGGGAACAGAACCAAATTTGCTGATCACAGGAAACGACAACAACCAAGTCACACATATACGGTTCAAGCATTTAGATGCTAAACCTTATAATTGCCCTTCTTGCGACGGAGCACAATTTAGATGCTTACAAAAGGATCTACAACAAAGAGAATCCTTTGAAATGTGATACATGCGATTTTAGTTGTCGTACTAAAATCGGTTTGAATAATCACCGTGTGAAACAACATGGTGCTGCTAGTTTATGTTACCCTTCTAGCGTGAGGAGGAAGTCCAAAAATTAAAAGGTTTCCTGTTGCTGGAGGGGTCGTAAAGCAAAATTTTTGACTCGCACCAAATTAGCAGATCACTTGGTGACTCACTCAGAAGAGAACGTTATTGGTTGTCCTACGTGTTTAGCCACATTTGGGAACAGAACCAAATTCGCTGATCACAGGAAACGACAACAACCAAGTCACGCCTTGTAACACATATACGGTTCCAGCATTCGGATGCTAAACCTTATAATTGCCCGTCTTGCGACGAAGCACAATTTAGATGCTCACATAAGGATCCACAACATAGTTGTGTCGTACTAAAATCGGTTTGAATAATTACAGTGTGAAACAACATGGTGCTGCTACTTCATGTTACGTGTGGCACTTTTGTGATAGACAATCCAATCGAGGTTCGTATTCAACAAGACATTTAGTGAAGGAGCATAATTGCTTTCTGGCTCCAGGGCACACACGGTTCAGATATCGGCAGGACTGTGATGGGTTTCATCGCTTGCAGACTATCAGGTATGAGACAGCTCAGCAAGTCAACAAGCCGACTCCTAGATGTGACGATGAGAATGTTCAGTACTTGGTCGAGCACAACATGGGTGAAGATGGGATGTCGGTGCAAATATCAAGAAGGTAATGTTGGAGAATCCGTTCTAGCAGTTGACCCCAGTGATTCATCAGAAAGTTCGACGGCAGGCGTCGCGACATTAAGCGTCGCAATATCAAACCCAAAAAATTCATAGTGAGTCTCCGATGGTGGAATAGGTTCGCACTGAAGTGAACCTTTTTCGATGAAGGTAACGAAAGTATGGCATGACTGACACCTTTACTAAGTATGGGGGTGGTGGACGGTTCTAGGGGTGGTTTGAGGTCGATATAGACCTGGGGCTGCCTTCGGGATGGGGTTGGTCCTTCCATCAAAATAACCAAGAAAATTGAACACATGCTCTATGAGGTTGCCTAGTGAAACCGTACTAGTATCAGACATGTGTGGGGCCTTGAAACCCCTAGGATTCAAGTTCGGATGGCCCATGTTGCGGAATGGGTGAGTTCCAGGAAATCTAGAAGCCAACTGTAACGAATATTTGTAGTGCATTCATTATTTTTAGATGGCTAACTATAATTTGGACACTTGGGTAGTTCAGTCGGTGGTTGGGGTTTATAATTAATGAATCGGCGCTAGTATAAGAATTTGATTGAATTGAAATGTAATTACATTACAGCTTTAACGAGTTTTCATGCAAGCATTATTCCACAGATCTCTTGTTTTGCCAATATTTCAAATTTTAGTTGAAAATCTTATAATTCAAAAACTGTAAATGAAATGGGGGAGTCGATATTTCAAATGAACTGTAAATAAAATATTCCATACGGGGGAGCCGATATTTCAAGTTTCAGTTGAAAATCTCATACTTCAAAAACTGTAAATAAAATATTCAATACGGGGGTGTCGATATTTCAAGTTTCAGTTGAAAATCTCATACTTCAAAAACTGTAAATAAAATATTCCCAATGGGGGAATTGATATTTCAAGTGTTAGTTGAAAATCTTATAATTCAAAACCTGTAAATAAAATATTCACTATGGGGGGTCGATATTTCAAGTTTTAGTTGAAATTCTCATACTTCAAAAAATGTATTCACTATTGGAGGAGGAAGTCGATATTTCAAATTTTAGTTAAAAATCTTATATTTCAAATACTGTAAATAAAATATTCACTATGGAGGAGTCAATATTTCAAGTTTTATTTGGAAATCTTATACTTCAAAAAAAATATTTACTATGGAGGGGGTCGATATTTTTCAAAACCTGTAAATAAAATATTCACTATGGGGGAGTCGATATTTCAAGTTTTAGTTGAAATTCTTATACTTCAAAAAACCTAAATAAAATATTCATTATGGGGGTGTCATTTCAAGTTTTACTTGAAAATCTTATACCCAAAAACTGTAAATGAAATATTCAATATGGGGGAGTCGATATTTCAAATTTTAGTTGAAAATCCTATACTCCACTATGAAGAAGTCGATATTTTTTACTGTTTTTTTTTGGATCTGCAACCTTCCACAATCTGAATACAAAGTTAAATCACTAGAAGTGCTGCTGAAATGCGACGGGTGGCAAATTGAAGTATTCACCCAATAAGTTACTGTGTTATACAAGAGTCCTGTTTGTCAGTAACTTGCCATATTCATGCATAAGTTATGATCGAAATTTCTCAAAAATGGAATAACCCGATGGTTATTTTTTCAAAAAAACTATCTTTTCTGTTCTCAAAACCTAGTAAACTCAAATTTGCAAAATTCAATAGCCATTAGAAGGTTTGCAAAGTAAATCGATAAAATGTACTTTTAAATCAGATTATCTGGTTTCAACTGAAATTTATATGAACCTAATAAATTATTGGATACAGAAACTATTTATAAATCCAGAATTTGTAAATTCTACCTTTTTATTGAAAATGAATTAATTTCTTTTAAATTTCAGTGTGATGAAAGATGTTCATAAACATGATACATACCAGAACAGTTTGTGTGTGTATGTGTATACGTTTCTAATCTTGAATAGTTTAAGGTGCTGAATTGCATTTCCCTAACACCAAACTATAATAGTTTCTCATTATATTATTGACATATTTATATATTTGTTCACGATTGAGGCAAGTGAACTTATTGGGTTTTGAAAACCGGAGAGAGTTATGTTACCCTCAATCCAACTAAGTTTGTTTTGATTCACATAATCCCTTTATATCCTTCTTATTAACCCAATTTTTTACATCATTGTTTAGCTTATATTTACGACTCTAATTTCCATCATATTTACGTACAAAATCCAAAACAGATCTGGGATTCCCATTCAGCATCAACTGTGCTGGAGATACCATTGTTGTGCAATGAGGTGTTATTCTATAGAAAAGCAAACTAGACTCAAATGTTTTGAATTGCCTTATTTTGAAACTTTGAACAAAGCTTTTACAAAGTTTTCAGCCTATCCATTGGACTCGAGGTGAAATGGAGAAATTTCCCTTGAAAGACTGATAGTATTACATGACTAAATATTACATTTTGAAATAGCTTCAGGCCAGTTACTACCTGCATCAATCAACACTAAAATATATTTTTTTCTGAAAAATATGACCTGCATAATCAATATGTACTCTATACCAATGTTTCTTTGGAAATTCCCAAGTCTGTAGCGGAATTTTGCAGGAGAATTTTGAATTTTTATACAATATTTACAGCTTTTGACCATATTTTCAATATCTAAATGTATGTAAGGCCACCATACATAAGAACGAGCTAAGCTTTTACATTTAACCATGCCCAAATGTGTTGAATGAAGGTTTTTCAAAAAAATACCCCTAAGAGAGGCTGGAATGACAGTCTTATGACCCAGCATCAAACATCCATCATAAAAAGAAAAACTGTTTTTAGAGTTAGCATACTGTTTTAACTGTATTTTCAGCGATTTTGGCCGTCCCAGTCTTACATGCCTGCAAACCTCCTCTATTTCTGAATCCTTCATTGTTTAAACTGTAATTTATTTCTAATCAATGGATAAATCATTATTTGAAGACATGAATTTTGAATCTAGATTAGAGCATTCACTTTCATTTGCTTCTTCATTTATTGTCATCTTTGAAAAAAATCAGCTTGATTATTCAACGACTTTACATATTCAGTCTCGTAGGTATAACTAAATATAACCCTCTGCTGCAATCTATGTGCTGCTAAAATAGACAAGTCCTTATTTCCAAATATAGTTAGAAGACATTTAGCATTGATATTAATAAGAAATTTCCAAAACTGTTTTAACTTCATCATTACATGCATGCAACCCTTTATTATCAATTTTGTATCTCAAATATTTCACGGACTCTTTGAAAAACTCACATTTGTTTATAGATATTTTTAACGCTCTATTTTCAAATCTTTTAAGAACTTCTGGGATCCTATACATTCTCTGAGCGATTGCGCCCTGTTATCAGAACTTCATCAAGAAAACAGGTTACTCCTTCTATACCAGCTAATTTTTTTCCATTATTGCCTGAAAAATAGCCGGAGAGTTCGTAATCCCAAAAGGTAACCTAATATAAACAAATTACCCCTAACTTATTGTTGTTGGCAATCTAAAGTCAGCGTAGACTTCAACTTGTTCTTAAGCATTGGCAAAGTCAATTTTAGTAAACTCCAGTCCCCCTTGTAACTAACAAAATAATTCATCATTTGTCAGCTTGTAAGACTGGGTAACCTTAAAATCACCGCATATTCTAAATCCTTCACCTTTCTTAACTACTGGAACGATGGATGATGCTCAATCGCTGTGTCACACTGGACTCAGAATACCTTCATCCAAAAGTTGCTTCAATTCTTGTTCAACGCCTTCACGCATAGCAAATGTAAATGCTTGAAAAACTTTGGCTGTGCTCCTTCTTTCAACTCCAAATGTATGGTGCCACCGTTATAACAACCTGAAGAAGATAAAAAGACTTCAGGAAGTTTTTTTTTTAAATTTTCACCGTCAACTTTCTCATTTAAATCATTAATTGATAGCTTAAACAAATTGAAAAAGTCTAGACCACCTTGATCAATGATGAACAATTTAAAAATGTGATTTTCTTATAAGTAATATTTACAGAGATATAACCTATTGCCTTTATTGTTGATACATCATAACTAGACTTTTAATTCATTGGAAACTGTTGAAACTGAGGCGCCTGTATCCTCTTCAAACAAAAATATCCTGTAGTTAATTAAAATTTTCAAAGAAACTGGATCATATTGTTTTAGTTTTGAGGTTATAGTGAAAATTATTTCTATACCTCACCTGTATTACTCAGCAAAAAAAATATTTCTATTTCGTCTACATATTTTCGGTAAATGAACCTTTTGTTTACAAATATTACATGAATATTTGAAAAAACACTTATCTTTTATATGATCACGTTTGACACTTCTTCTTCTTCTCTTTTTTTTATGGTATTACAGATGTAGACCCGTCATATGATATCCGACTCCTTGTTGCCATGTGTTTCGTCGACCTTCCTCTGCCGGTTGAAGATGTCATGACTCTACTACTTGACCTTGCTTGTCAAAGCTCTGACGATTTCAATGTTGTGGATTCCGTTGACCCATGTGTTTATAAAAAACTTCCTTCACTCGTAGGCTGTTTTTTAAGTCTGGTTTTTTCAACTTGGCAGCTCACTAATTCTATGACCTTGTCGAATTCCACTGTGATTTTTTTCATTGAAAATTTTTTGCATCAACGAAGGATCGTCAAGCCGCTTGATAAATTTGTCACGTAAAAGTACATTGAGTTCGGTTTCAAAGGAACACTTTCCAACTCAACATTTTACTCTCGCTGCCCACTGATGAACTGTTTCAACTTAATTTTTAACGGCACTATAAACTTTATATCTCGCCGCAAAAGCACTGACTGTGTTTGTCACACAATTCCACTAGTTCCTCGTACTTTTTTCTTCTGGACTTTCAGGAAGTCAACGACTATGAATCAACCTATAGGCTTCTTCATCGCACGCATTCAGAAGAATAGTTCTCTTCACATCACTTTCCGTCGACTTATTTGCAAGGAAATATTGCCACAATGTTGCTTTGAAAATACTCCAGTCCGAATCTTGAAACCAAAATTCTCGCATATTTCCGATCAACGTGTACGATGCATTTTTTTATCACTAGTTTCTTTCGTTCTCACAAGTTCGCGATTTATAATAACTTGTAATATTTTACAATACTTCTATCACTTTTTTCTCGTCGCCAACTGTGGTGTCTTTGAATTTGGAAGTGGAGCAAAAAAACTTAACATGCATTGGATGACTTATTGCGTATTTAAACGTCTTTCCTCAACAACCTAACAATTTAACTTCCACAGCACCGTGTGTCCACTGCTATATGCCGTGTTGTCACATCGTTTCTGAACTTGAAAATATTTAGGTTTTATTAGGCTAAACGGTGAAAAACCTTACATGGAAATCAGGTTTTTTACCGTATTCAAATACATCATTTTAGCCAACTCAAACAAAAATTGGTACTGTAAATTTATGAACAATCTTACAATTTGTATTTGTTCTTTTTTCAGGAGTGCCCAATCCAGGAGTTTTCAAAAGAACCGAAGACAAAAACTTGAATGCTAAGACTTCGTACACCCTAATCTGGGAAGTTGACAGTTACACGTCGATCATCGAATATAACCTTTGGTTCAGACCATACCGAACAACCAGGGGTACGAATTCGCCCAATTGGACAAAACTAACCATTCCCACCGAACATTCTTCAGGTTCGGTTTATTCAAAGTCTTATACCATCAAAGGACTAAAAGAAAAGACAGTGTACGAGGCTTTGCTGGTTTCTAGAAATAGATATGGCTGGTCAAAACCTTCGCCAATTTTACGGTTTGCAACAGCTGGTGCAGGTAAAGATTACATTCGTTTGATTAGTTTCTGTAAGATAAGGATTTTTGCGTTTTTTATTTGCCTATTTCTTTATATTTCTCGAAGCAAACTATTCAATTCTGTGCAATGGGTCAGTAGACTAGGCATAATATATTAAGTTCAAAATGCTTTAATGCGCATTTAAGATATCAAGGATTTTAAAAGAAAATTTCCATTCAAAAAGTGTAAACTTTAACTGCCAGTGTCAAAGTTAATATCCGGGTTTTTTTGGCCATGGTCAATACGTTTTTATCTATGACCTACAACTCCGGCAGATATCAAAGGCGATATTATTCAAGGGACGAAGTATATGATGGTTATCCTCAAAACAGATTCTACGGAATTTGTTTGGTTCTTCGGTTTTATTCCATTGATGCTGGGCCTTCCTATTGGTTAAAATGAGTGACCTGAAATTAAACAGGGGAACTAAAACAATCAGAGAGAGTATAAGGTCATCTAAACATACCAGAGGGCCTTTAGCAACTTCTGGGATTTACTGTCATCTTTTGGTGGCTGATGATCTCTTTCAAGACAGTGAAATACTCGCAGTACAATTTGTTTTTCTCTTACTGACCGAGACTCCGACCGTTTCACCTTTTTCGACGTGGAAGGCCCGACCATGTCTCCCATTTTTTGAGTAGTTTGAGAACTGTAGAAATATAATTATGTAACGCTTAAACACTTATTAGCACTATTATTTTTACCAATTGTTATCACAACACGTCGATTGCTGACTAACTTAACTGTAAAACGTACAATTCACGCTGTATAATTCACAAACCAATGATACGCTCATGGCTGCAAGTACATTAGTGAGAACTGCAACGATGAGATGGAAGTTACGGTGAAGTGACAAAGACAGAAATATCGTTGCGTACAGCGTTGCCACTAGTTGTAATAAATATCTAACACTATACAGAAAATAATGAATTTTAACTGATCAGTAATCAGCAGGAAATGTATAAGTATTACTCATTACAAGCTCATTACTGATTTTTGTCATAAATAATACCTTTTAATCGTACTAGTATTGTGTATTATCTATTAATTTGCCACAACCTACAACTCTACTGCTTACTATATTTTTATTCTGCTATAAACTGGTAATGTAAAATTTAGATATGACAACGCGCTTTACTCTCAATCATTATTGGTTTTAATATATGTGTGTACCTCCGAATAACCAACCGGGCATTTCTACATCATTAAGTTCCACAATTACAAAAGATAAATTAGTTGATATGTGCTCTGATTATACCGGTGTACCAAAATCATCGATTTACAAAATACTAAGAGAAGCAGAAATTCATGGGGACGTACAGATGTAAGTTTTTTCATTCACTTTTTCCTAAAAAAAACACTTCAATGTTTTACTGGTCGCCTCCTTCTTCGGAGACTTTCGGATAAAAATAACATATCTATTATCGGACTGACGACCTCGTCAAATCCGTCGACTTCCCGCCTGGTTACTGGCGTGAAAGGGAAGAAAACTTTTCACATATAGTCAGTGGGCATACTTGAAGACTGGCTATAAATCAAATCATCTAAAAGAACAATTCGTTTAGGCAAGTCTCAACTTCCAATACTGGGTTTTTTAGCTGCAATGGAGAACTTTATACAGATATAGAAAACTGTTTAGTTCACCTGCATAAGCAGTTTATTCATCAGTTACTTTTCGTATTTAGTCCTATAAGACAAAGAACTAATAATTTAAACATATATATCTTAACGTTACAGACGTTAGAGATATGGCAAAAGTACCTAAGTTGGGCAAATAATGAGAAAACCCCTACTCAATTAAAAGGACATACATTTTACTGAATATTCATTTTTTCCTCATTTAAGAAACACCTTCTCGTGATTTGATTCGATTTTGATGAATTAAAGATATTTATGTTTTCAATTTCAGAACTGAATGAAGAGATGATAACCACAGTCCAAGTTAATGTGCAGGAAAACATTTTCACACTGGAATCCAGTTCGTCGAGTGGAAAACAAACTTTTATGCTATATATTTTTGTATTGTTGAACATTATACAATTTACTGTTTGAAAAATGACTTTTTGTCCAAAACTACCACAACAGATAATTTTATCATTATGTTCACAAGCTCACATAGGTATAAAAATAACAAGTTTTATGGATTGAAATTCTGTTTCTTAATCTCACATACAAAACACATACCTACTACGTGTAACTCATTTAGAAACTATTTGAGGCATGTTCTATTCTTGATATAATTTGCAATATTAACAACCAATATTTAGATTCTACTTTCATTCTGAAACTGTTTTGCCAGCACCATACTTGTAACTCTTTTAGTTAATCAACATAAACTCTAGGTTAGTCAGAAACTGATATATCTATATAAGGAGATTCAAGATACACTATATATCTGCAATGATAAACATAGTTTTGAATATTTTCGTATGACTGGTGTAAAAATTAATTATCTGACTTATCAGGGTGCCATGCTCTTTTAAAATTTTCAAATGAATCAAAGTATGTTTTAAATTACATATTTTTAACCTAGAATATAATTTATTCTTTTAGCACACTTCTGAAACTTGCCAGTTTCTTTAGATTTCGAGAAAAACATTTGAAAACGTAAAACCATTTTCTATATAAATGTGACAATGAATTACTACCAAATGTATTTTTATCACAACCCAACATATAAAACATTCTCACTATTTATAATAATGTAATAGTGTAGAGAATGAAAATAAATCATAATTCATAATAGAATCTATTTAATATAAAAATGTCATGCAGTTATTGTGGCAAATGAAAAGTTATAGTGATCATAACAAACAAAATGGATAAAAAGATAGGTACAAAGATTTCTAATGTGAAAAATATTTCTATACAAATGAAAATGATTATAAAATCATTAAATATAAAAATACTAAATAATTTAGGACTCTCAGTTTTATAAAAAGTTAATTGTTATCTTAGTACTTTCGGTACTTTCTCAGATCAAGAAATTGTAGAAACTTGTTAGTTTTATAAAGTGTATGATAAATTTAAATTTCCTTGTCCTTTGCATATTACTCGATTCCCAATTCTGCGGCCTCTTCTGGTGTCAATTCTGAAAAACTTTTATTAACATTTTCTGACTTTGCAGATTCTCTTGCTAAACCATATTCTTCAATATCTAAATCATCATCATCTCTATTGAAAATACCATCTCTAATTTTTTTCCCACTTCCTTGGCTTTTCTTTTCTTGCAATAATGGTGGAACAGACAAATCACCTTCATAATTAATCACTTCATGTTGTGCAATCCTCCACTCTATTGTCTCCGTTGAAAAATCATCACAATTGCCAAGCTGCGTGAATCCTACTATTTTATCGACCATCACACCATTCTTTATCAAGACTATGGTGGGTAGAGTTTTTATTTTCAATTTTTCTACTAGGAAAGGGGATTTTTCTGCGTTGAGTTTAGTGAAGCGAGTCTCGATGTGCTTGGGTGCCAAAGCCTTCAAATGTTTGTCAACAATTTCACAACGAGGAGTACTGTTTCTGTAAAAATGTAAGATAACATTGTCAGATTTCTTGATGACATCAAAGAACATTTTTTCCTCTGCCAACTCCTCATATTTTCCATGATCATTAGCAAGCCATATTTTTTTGTTTTCTTCTTGTTTCTGGAGTTCTCTAATCCTGCTCTGTTTGAGTTGTTCCAAATCATTAACATCCAAATTATCTATATGTTCTATAACTGCATCAACTTGTTTTTCGATTGCTGCTGTGACGTTCATTAAATTTTGTTCCAGTTGTGCCATTTTTTTATTTAAATCGGATTGAATCGCTTGTGTTTTTGAAATACGACAATTTTTATTAGCAGATGTTTATTGTACACCTTTTATAACTTTTATTTCTACTTTCTCAAATGCCGATGACAGTTGACAAGTCAGTCAGGTTAAGGTAAAAAAGATACGTTCCAAAAGTAACCACCATAGAACGACAGAACTTATAATTATATATGTGGGGAGTACAACGCGTTTCAAATATGGCAGATGGACAAATCATAAATTCCCTAAAAAAAGGGAGTTCTTAAATTCAACAGAAAGTTTTTGATTGATTGCTCCAACCAATAAAAACGCGATACTATTATTGATGATTCCATAGGATTCATCGCTTAACGACATCATATAGTAAAAAGCTGAAGAGGCAAAAAATTAAATTTATAAAAATGAACAGCAATCATAGAATATTACTGGAGTTTTTTCCCATCACCAAATCGTTATTTTTTAACACCTCGACACGTGTTTCGATCACCAAGTGATCATCTTCAAGAGAAAAATAAAACTGTTTTATCACCTCGACACGCGTCGAGGTGTTAAAAATAACGATTTGGTGTTGGGAAAAAACTCCAGTAATATTTATTACTACACCAAAGGTTCCAAACGGTACATCATGAGCAATCATAGAGTACAACATTCTCTATCGATCAGTATATACCATGACACAGTGAGATAAATATTAATTGCGATATATATCTACAAAAACACGGAACCTTGAAATTTCATTGAAAAGTTTCCTCTATATTGTAATTCGTTAACAGCAGCTTCATTTTAGTTGAGAATTTTGACCATTCTGACCACAGAATTATAACTGTTCTGTGATTCTGACCTACTGTTGTGGTCAGGGTTGCCAACGATTTTTGTAATTTTTTTGGAAAATATTCCAAAAATCGACGACCATCAATCCGAAGAATAGTGACACTGAAATTTCTTAATTATTATCATGGATAACTTCCAAGAGATATTATATTAAAGTTTTATTATTCAGACATAGTCTTTTGCAATCTATTATGATCACAAAAAGCTTCTGTGGAAGAAGGGTGTCTCGGAAAGAAACAAGTCATTGTAAAAATAATTTAATATACAAGTTGGTGTATAATGAAAAACAAACAAAAACTGATAACAAAATCAGTACTATAATACTTGTAATGGTTGTGTAGAAACACCATCAATCAAGGACGCTTTATCATTCACTTGGTTATCAGTGTGTTTTTTAAAAAATTTAGAAGTCCAGTTGCACATTACACAGTCTATCAAAAACTGAACGATTCTATTGACTATACCTGAAAATAAAAACAAAATTTATCACAACAATATAAATTGGAATTGTACAACTGAAAAGAAACAGAAAACTGTATAATATGGCGATGTCACAATAAAATTACCTGAACAAACAAATATTCCTCCCACGATCGAAGACAATCTAGCAAGAAATACACCCAAATTATCCCTTTCTTGCTTAACAGTTACACGTAGGGCAGACACATCATACTTGAAAAACAATCCAGGAATACCATGACTGCCTTTATCATGGTCAATTGGTCTGCTGAGAGCCTTTACACTATACTGATAAGTTTTCACCGATGTCAAGAACGTATCCACATTAGTTGGTACAACTTCAATAAAGTAATTGAATAACGTACGACCTGAAATTGCGAAAAATGATTGTTTAATAAGTTATTCGGGAATGCTGTTCCTGAATTACCACCTACACTTTCAGGTCAGTTTAATTATTCTAACTAGGTAAAATTGTCAGTATATTCATGATGTGTAGAATTTCACAGCAGATGCTTAATAGATTATTTGCTGTTGCCAGATTTATTAGTCGTGGTCTGCAATAAGCAAATTTAGTTTGCAATTCGGGCACTGCAACCGTTACCACATCGCCTTTGAGAGTGTCTACCGCAGTGGTAGACGAAACGTCAGGCATGCAGACCACGGCCAAAAAAGCCCGAGAAATAGCTTTCACATACAGTAGAATCCGGATATAACGACCTTCAAGGAACCAGATATAATATATCGTACTAACCGGACGACGCACAAAACGGATTAATTTTGTGGTACTAAAGTGTACATTAGTTCATTTGTCTTTCATTTAGCTGTTCGGATTGGTGATCGATAGGTGAATAAAACATTTTAAAGGAATCACATAAGCTTGATTTTAATAGTTTTTAAATAAATATCCTAATGTAAAAAATATGTACTTACATTATGTACTGTAATACAAAGAGATAAAATACACACGCAATGCACGAAAAAACTGTGTTACTAACATAGAAATTCTGTTACTTGAGTTTTTTTTTGACAAACTTTTGTTCTGTAGTAAGAATTTCGTACAGCATAATGAATTCGCAACACCATTGAAAATTTTTGCAGCCTTCAAAGCTTCAGACACACTCGAGGTTGGATAAATCTCCTCTGGTGCGTCATCATCACCGTTATTATCTTTGCTATTCACGTCGTTGGCAATTATATTTTCCACAATGTTTTCATCAGGTGGTTCCTCACAAATGGCAACAGCATCATCGACACACACGTATTGTTCGAAGTTCTCGTTTGTTATGGGTAACTGATGCATATCAATAGCTCCCGCTCAAATGCTCAGCGGCACGTCGTCTTCTTCGTTGAAATCATCTGGGTTTGAAGTTAGGCTACATTCTATATTGTTTTGCACATCACTTTGTTGAACTGACATAGACTCGCCAGCAATCTTACCACAGACGATGTTGTGTCTCACTTCTAAATGGTTTATGCAACTTATGGAACATGTGAAATTTTGCATGTCTAACTGTCTAGCAAAAAAGTTTGCTTTCTCTTGTAGCAGAGGTCCATTAAGGAGTATTCTCAGATCGCACTAAAGCTTGAACCACTGTAACAATGCCTTATCCAACTGCTCATGAGTAGAAGTCCTTACCCTTACATGTTTGTATTTCAAAACATTGGCATTGAACAGGACTCGAATCTTATCTTTACTCTTTTTAATTGTGGATATTGTAGAATGGAATACCCCAAACTTCTTTGCGAGGGCTGCATTTGATTCACGGGCTTCTAATCGGTGTAATATTGTACTTTTCTTCAATTGCAAAACACTTTCACTTCACAGAATTCATTTTGTTGAATTTTATGAACTTACAACAAGTGACAAAGACTTCATACTGGAACCTCTGGCCTAAAATCTATTAATATCTGTTAGTAGTACCTATCAATAGAGGTACCTAAGAAGAGAGAATGCGCCGAGGCATTGGTGTGCAGATTGTGTAAACAAAACATTGCGCGACGTTTCAACCAGAAGTATTATCATGAGAAACGGTCGCTATAATCGGTTGTTCGCTTAAACCGGAGTCGCTGCTCTAAATGGATAGTCGTTATAAGCAGAGTCGTTATATATGAATTCTACTGTACTTGTATTTTCTTCACATTTTTGATAATCTGGACTACAATGAAAGTGATATGTTTACACCTTAATTTGAATTAGCGATACTTTTGTGTTTCCTCAAAAAGTTTGGTAGCAATGATTAAACTCACCATAAGCTCCAACCAACTCATCTCCTTCTAATGGATGGACAATACCAGGACTTGGATCTCCGAAACTAAACTTATTGATCCTGTGTGAAAAATTATAGTCTCTTTCAGACATGAAAGCATTTATGTGAACATGACCCCTTGGCAAATGCAAACTTTTACCTGCAGTTATGTGAAAGTTACCAGCTACCTTGTTAAGGATCAGACTACCATGAATCCTGCAAGCATCGAAGGGTCTGTCCGGTTTATCATTTCTCGCCGGCAAGTCGCCGAAATGTGTGGAGAATCGACTCCTCCATAATAAATCCTGGAAATAGATTGAATGTCTTTTAGAAATGTTATAGGACCTAAACACGTATAGAAAGTTATATTTATATTGATGAAAGACCTTTCTCACCTTGACAGCATGATATTCTTCACGAAGATATGAATTAAAGTGCCTTTTGTTTTCAAAATGGATCTGTTGATTTTGTGCCAGCTCAAACCATGTATCTTCTTCCTCCAGTGCTCCAAATTTGAAAGCATTTTGATTTGTTGAATCTAGTATATCTGCTCCTAAAACTAAATCCTATTTACAGCTTTCCATTAAATACTATTTTCATTTTCAAATATTTTAGATGGGTCCCTTTCCAGACAACACTTGAACGTTTATCATTGTCAGTATCGAAGTTGTCACTTCATTGTTGGCAAAGATGGTAGTCAGAGACAGGTTTTATAAATGTAGACGTGTAGTTACCCTTGTTCCAAACAGTGGATTTTAGAACCTCATGTGTTATGAAAATGGATGTTATGCTTGTGTAAACATAGTCACTAATATTGGTAATAACAAAAAAGGTTTATAATGTCACCCTTCATACTTACAGTGACATGGCATAGCTACTGTTATATCAACATTTATTTTCAACTGTTCATCCAGTTCCACGTCAGGTGAAAATTTGAAAATGAATTTGCTATCCAAATAATAATTTACTTCAGAATATACCAGCCACAAGATGAGTAAGAAACTTATTATGGAAACTGAAAAGAACACTCTGAAAGTAATTGCTATTTTTTCTGGTACTTACAACGTACAGGTGCCACCAACAGATGAGGTTTCTTTGAAAGGTTCCTCTACTTTTGGAAAAATGTCCAATTTCTTTACTTTACTCAATCTCGAACCTCTGTACCTGAGCATCGTTACCTTTTCTGGTTCCATATTGTTTCGTGATGTCCCTTAGTGGAATTTCTGAAATCGTACATACACAAGTTACATGTATTAATATTAATGTCCTAAACCTGAGAGATAAGACTTCGATCAGATTGAAAATATACAAATATTGACATTTTATTGTTGATATCCTTGACAGTATGACGTATGACAGAAACAGTGACAGTTGTTGCGTCTACCAATATTCAGGAAGTGCATATCAGAACTGCTTCGAGGATTGAAATAAACGATTGCACAAGTGTATTATATCTGAGGGGTCAATTTTGAAGGGGACAAAATATATTCGTGGATAAATGAATATTCACCTTATTTTTTTATTAGAGTAGTGTGCCTACAAATTGAGTTTTGTGGCTATATGATTACGCAATACTGGTATTTGCTCCTAATAGACAACCTAAATTTTTTTAGTGACCTGACGTGCAGGAAGAATATTTACTAAAACCCCAGGAAACGCGAGTTTCTTATTTGCTGTTCTATAGGACAAGCGATATTATCCGATCTAACTTAATATCGACTTTGATTTTTTTGTTGGTTTCAATGAATTTTTTATCCATTCATTTTGTTGTAATATGATATGCATTGTTTTTATACTCCATTATTGTTAAACACAAGTGAAATGGAATGTTACGTTCACTATTTGATTCGGTTTTGGACTGAAATTTACCGATTTCTTCATTTCTATGAACCGAGTTAATGAGAAAATAACAAAAACTCATAATTTTCCTGTTCTATAAACTACTTTCATAGATTTTGAAATACTGAATACTATGGCAATTGAAACAAATAAAAACAGTATATTCAATTAGTGTCAAACTAAAAAGAATATTCTTTTAATACTATTATCTTTCTGAACTTGAATCTCTGGTTTGTAATCAACTTACCAAACTCAATTTTAGAAATAACGGTTTTTCGTTCCTAGTGAAGAAGATAACTGTAAAAAACATGGATGAGCCTGAACAGAATCTAAATGCTGCTAGTTCCTCCGTCCTCTTCGTAGGTGCTCCCTCTGAATCGGACATCGATATGATAGTAGGAGTCGCCAAAAAGATTGCATCATCAGGACAAAAAAAATTGAGGACGAGCGCTACATTTCTGGCCCTGCAAGAATCCGTTAAAGAGAGAGCGGTGAGAGATTTAATTTACATAAATCGTGACGTGTTTCGCTATACAATAGCTCACTCAAACAGGATCATCAATTCGGTTGCGAAACAGACTCGCCGTGACCCATGTAAGGGTATGAGAGCTTTTATCTCATTCTTTCTGCTCTTGACTAATCGCCAAAGCGAACCATCCCCGGGCTTTAAACTCTCGATATGTTCTTGTCAACTCTAATTCCTAAATATAGCTTGTTTTACTTCATTGGCTTTCGCGTTCGCTCTGACTGTTGTGTCTCTAGGAAACAGAGTCTTGTGATACGTTCTTCTCAGACGGTTTCTTTCTCTAATCAGAGATTTTATCCGTGGAAGGAATTCGTTATAGGATCTCGGTGATTCTTCGTAATTCGTGGTAACTGCCGAAAGAGCGTTGTTGGTGTCTTCCTCGAGGCGTACCACAACTACATCTGAGGCTGCGGTGGTTTCGGGATGTCGTAATATACTGGTTTCTTTCTTGAAAGCTTCCCAGTATGTCCTGATCCTTCTGCTGTTGTTTTATATAGGGGGGCCTTTTCCCAGGATCAATGTCAGTGGGTTGTGATCTGAGTCCAACTCAAAGGTCACAAGCGTAAAAGCGTAAAAGCGCTCTACCGTTTAAATTATTGACCATGCTCAACTGTGTGTTTTGCGTTTAAATCATCTGCAGCTATAGTTGGAGTATCCGTTTCGAGTAAGGGTGTCTTCGGTAGTAACCGGTTGTTAGAGAGATTATACACTGATATAAGTACTGGGTATTGCGACTGCGTGAATCATATTTATGTCGGTTCAGGTAGTTTGGTGTGCTAATTACTGTACCTGGATTGGGTGAATTGTCAATGACATTCATTGACGCTTTTCTACCTGCCGTCATGATGTTTGTTGGTCTTGAACTTCTTAGAATGGGATTCCATATTCGGTCGAGGTTCACAGCTTTTTCTTTTTTCTTGAAATTATCCGTGTGTTTTCAACATAAATAGGCTTTACGCAGTCGATATACCCAGTCATCGGAGATAAACTCAAGATGTATGGACCTCTGAAGAAGCTAGCCACGTCAGGAATAAATTCCAAAAATCGATTGCCCTCAAACTCGAATGAAAATAGTGACACTGAAAAGCTCTGCCGCGAAACCCTTAACCATTTCGTCATTTCAAAAATATTTTCAGCAAAAAATGAAGGAGCAAAGAACTCTTCGGTATCAAGAATTGCAATTGCCCCACAGACATATATGCGATATGGTTGCGATGTATTGGGGAATCGAACCCAGCGAAGTGATGGAAGGTGTTATTGATGATGTATTCCATTTGGAACTCCTGCAGAGTCTTCTGGATAAAGATAAAATAAAATGTATCCTTTTTTACTGTCAAGATGGACCGCCATATCCACTGGGTGAGTCTATATACCTCCAATATAGGTTTTTAACCGGCCAAATTAGACCAAGAAATAGAAGTTAGGGTACACAAATTCGCACCCAGCTCAAATTTTGTAGGATTGTTCGAAATACTATTTTAAATAAAATCTAAAAAATTCTCTCTCAAGAAAACGGGTTTGGCGCGTTTTTTTAACATGGTTTCCTCGTTAGGCCTATTCCACAGATCTGTTGTGTTTCTGTTTAATTTGCAACTTTTGAACAGTAAAAGATATGAGCAAAGATTGGAAATGATGAAAGCACTGTAAATTAAAAAAATATATGGGGAAATTCATTCGTCTTTCACAATTCAATAATACTTCTGCTTCCTCTTCTTCTTGTCTTTCTTCTTCTTGTTTCTTCTTCATGCTGGGTCCAAGTAAATTTCCCCAATAGTGATACATCGCATGTATCCTCGTTGGTATCAAACGGATCCTCAACTGTTGGTGATTCAACATTGAAGCACGACCGGCCACATACCAGAGAACAAAACAGTCCAACTGTTTTGCAACCATATTCAGCACTACATCCCTTTTTACAGTTGCAGAAATTATGTTTAGCAGTTTTTTCGACGCAGGTCTGAACTGTCTGAACTAGACATTTTTTATAGATAATAATCTGGTCTACATTTTTTGTACGAATTGATTTTGTGATAAAACTTACCACATTGCTGAAAATCGTGAAAACCCCTTTCTGTGACCTTTGACGCGGAATAAATTTTTTTCCAGGTATCGGGTCGATGAGGATTTTTAGAGTTCTCATTTATGATGGTGTTTTGAACAATTCTATCAACTTGGAGGTGGGTGCGAATTTTTGAACCCTCGGATGTCTGAATTTACCATACCTACTGTTGTCAACTCGCTGTCAGGATAGCTGACGAATGGTTGTACTTCTATCAAAGAACTTGATGTTCATATTTCAGCTTGAGAGAGTTATATGTTCACTTCTCATACCGGGATTCTTAAAAAATGAACAATAGTTGAATGTCAAGTATTCATTTTTGAAGAGACTGTTCAAATAACGATTTTTTTTTGGTAATTTGTAGAGGAAGGTCAATTATTATTTTTAAAATAGAAAATTTTTCTTAACTGATTATTCAAACACTTGAATTATAAGAAAAGATCATGAACAGTTATAAATTGGTGTTATGATTTTTTTTCTGAAAATCATTATTCTATAAAGAAAACAAAATTGAAAAAAAAAATCAAAAATACTCACATAATCTATTTGTTTATGGACAATCTATTAACCAATTGCGCCAAAAAATTTTTGGTTCTACTTACGAAATATCTTTATTCAATAAAAAATCGGGAATATGATAATAAATATAAAAAATATAACAATACGTCGATTATTAACTATAAAAATTATAATAAACATAATATTGAACTTTTTAAAACTTTTATAACGCGATCTTATTAAGTATACTGATCAAAAGAGCTCCATGGCGCGAAAATTTTTTTGGAATACTATTTAAGCTTTTTTGTGATCTTGATTGAAGATTCAAATCAAGTAAAATATTGTTAATCAATAATTACTCAGTTTTTTTAAACAGAACTGGCTGGTATCTCAATCGCCACAAAAAAATTACCAGAAAAAGAATTTCTGGCAAACACAACAATCTGCACTGACAGCAGACAAGCCCTATTAGCCTTGAACAGATAACGTGTTACCCGAGGGGTAGTACTAGAGTGCCACCAAGATTTTGCCAAAGCCGGTAAATAATAAATTTATTCTGAGATGGGTTAAAGGTCACGAGTAAAGGTAATCGCATTGCCGACTCTTTAGCCAAGAAAGCGGCTGAACTAAGAATTTTAGGACCCAGTGGCACTTACGGCTTGATGACTTCGACAATTGCGGAACTAGCCAAATGTTAAACCCATGCTCAACCCCCAAAGGTGGTATCAAAGGATGCAATCTTGCCAGGATCACCCTTGACGACCCTGAGATGCTGGCGCCGAAGAAATATCTGTCGATTACCAGGAAAAATCTACTCTTAACAGTAGGATTTCTGACTATCTACTGTCAACTAAGGAAACACCTCCATAATATGGGGCTAGTGGACACACCTCTATGCAGGATGTGTGAACAGAAAGATGAGACTGTCAGGCATGTTCTATGGAGTGCCCGGAGTTATTGTCAATGAGAGAGTGTGTCTTCGGCGAGTCTTGGCCTACACCTGCCGATATAAAGGAGATGTCTCCAAGTGACCTGTCCACCTTCCTGGAAAGGACGGGCTGGACGATGACCTAGGAGGACAACTCCTCGGGAGGATGTACAACGGGTCACATGTGGCCTAGGTGCTGTGGGCTTACACTCACCCTCCCTACTCTACAGATACAGAGATACCTACCCAGTTTTTTGAATAATTCACTTTTATATTTTTTCCAACGAGAATCAATTTTTCATAGTATTCAGAATACACCATAATTTTCCGTATCTTCAAATTCACCCGCGGAGGCCTATTTTCGGCGTTGAATTAAAATTATAAATAATAGAGATAGTTTCAGCAGGTGGGACTTTTTTCTGGAAAGTTCCTCCCTTTTAAGGATAATTTTTTAAATCTCTCAATTCTTTATAGTTTTCGAAATATTTGCAAAAACCTAAATATCACATTTTAGCACATTTTTCTAGGAATCATTCCCAGTCGAATGAGCCATCTCACGTATTTTTTCGGCCATTATCTCTATTTTCACCATTTTCAATTTCTGAACTAGACTAAAATGAAAATTTCAGAATCCGGTAGAAGCGGTACTACTACTAACAAACTGATAAGAAGAATATTTGTTTCGAATGGTACAACTTATGGAATGGATGGGAAAGCGGTTGCTGTCTATAAAGTTAGCAACGCCGCTCTTGACCTGAAAAATATAAATGACGTAAGAAAAATTGAAAATAATAGCATTTATAACATTTTAGTGACATGTTTCATTTTTAGGATGTGTGTTTCGTTCAGTTCGACATGAGCGAAGGCACTTCAAATTTTGCTGCTGTCGCGTATGACCTGTTGAAAGACATCTCAACACCCCTGATCGGTCTAACTAAAGATTGGGGGGATCTTCCCAAAACAGAAAACGGTCGGATGCAAAAGTTGGATTTCGAAGGAGATTTCTCGGCATTCGTCACATTTCTAGATAGTACATACTTTTATTTTCTTTTTTAAATCTGTTTTAAAAAAAATCTGTTTTAAAATCTGTTTTTCCGTTAATCTAAAGACAAGATGGCGTCGTCCAAAAATCATCATTATTTTGTATTCATTGTATGAAATAGGATTTATGGATGATGAAAATCGTTCTAATTTTTATATATTACATTAGGAACTAACATTTATTTTTCGTAAAATCAAATCCGTCATTATAAGTTAAACAGCAGTCATAGCGAATGACGTCACATCTATGTAAATATCATTTCGTTTCCTTCCAGGTCATCCTGTGGTGAAAATGCTGGAAATTAAGTAAATCTTACCTAAACGTGATAGCAATCAGAGCAGTGTAAAGATTATATTGTAGTTTCACACCAGAATAAGATTTTTTCCATTATGATCTATTTATTTATGGTTGTAGGTATATCAAAACTGTGCAAAATTCAGTCACTTATTTCGTATTGTTGTCTTGCGTGTAACAAACGTTTGAAATTTTTTCAGATCAGTTATGTTATCACACTGAAGAACTGCACACCACTTCAGAATTTATAATCATTGGAATAATAACTTTCTTTAATGACTAATGTTGATATAGACGTGACGTCATGGAGAATTGTCATGATGCCGGCGAGCATTTTGGCGCGAATTTCAAACTTTGAAGTAAACTACTAATTTTGTCTACCAAACTTCCGTATTTTTCCAAAATATTATTTGTTTTGGAAACAGTAATACTTGTTTTGTTGAAATCAGTCATCAAGCCTGCCTTTAATATTCATGAATTTATTTTAGGAACAAAAATAGACCTGAGTGGAGTTGTTACGTTTTCCTACGACAAAAATGTACTCAATCAGATAGACCGAGAAGATAAACGGGAAAAGGCCTTTTTTGATAAGGCGTTAATCCAACAAGTAGAAACAATAGTTAGAGTCTGGCATAAATTGATTGAAAGGGTAGATAGGGAACATTCTAGACAATTCATCAACAATCATGAACGGAATATTTTCAGTGTTTGGTGCAGTTTAGGCAACTGCGAAGAGAAGATGAGTTTGTGGGACCAGTTGCCGAAATTGAATACTGGAGAAGGCAGTTAGCCAGATTTACGAGCCTGGTTGAGTTTTTGGAAAAGGAGGAGTGTTATCAGTTCATAGACTTTCTGGAATATATTGATAATAAAGAGATTATGAAGGTTCGTTCAGTGAAGAATTTTGTCCTGGTGGTAGTAATGATTTTAATATTGATAAAGAATATCACAATTTCAGAATATTGAAATGAATTTAACTAATGAACGCAAGGAAAAAATGTCAGTCATCTCTTGATGATGCTAACTTGATTATTAAAACCTGCGTCGAGAGAGAGTGCTGCAGCTCTAGTGTGGGAAACGTGATTTCATTAGAATCGGTTGTAGAAGTTATAGAGAGGATATATTATTGAAATGTATTATTCAATATAAATTCACATATTTAAGAGCTCTTGGAATGTAACGACGATCTATTTCGTATATTTTTATATATTAAGCATTTTACGCCATCTGGCATAAATGGAAATAAGTCTGGATACTGTATTGAGGAGAAATACATACGACGCCAACTGAAATGAGTCAGCGCAGAAACGTAAAATCGTTCTGTGTTAAAAGTTTCCGCGCACTTGAGTCATATTTCGTCAATGTACTATTGACATTAGTTTGTGTGACCAATAGCTATCTTCTGGGGCTATGTTGAAATTTCTGTAAGTACAATTTTGGACCTTTGGCGTAAAAAATCTATTGAAAATTCTTTTCATTCAATAGAACAACAATTCTGTCTCTCGACGTGGGTTTCGTAGAAACGTTTTCCTTAATCGAGTGAAATAACCTATAAAATGGCGAAAAAGTTTTCTTGTCTTTAAATTGTTAATAAAAAGTTTTCATGTCCTGGCCATTTTTGAAAATGTCCCAAAAAAGAGTACCATCTTTTCAACAATGGACGCACTTTATGGTTTCAGATCAGTTAATTGTTTCAGATCTGGAAAAAACACTTGAACGCTGTATACGATACAAGAAACGAATGTTCTGATAACGTCAAATACTTATATTCAATGGAAAAATACTGGGAACCGTTCTACAGACTAGAATTACCGGAGCTTGCCAATCACATTCCCCCTCTCTTACATGCAATTCGAATGGTTTACACCACATCGAGATATTACAACAGCACCGGAAATATAACAGCCCTTTTAGTGAAAGTTTCAAATCAGATCATCATAAAATGCCGAAATTATTTGAACTGCAACGGTTCTAAAACAGTTTGGAACCAACCCAAGCAAGAAGTTCTAGACAAAATCAAGGTAAAATCTAAACTGAGAAGGATACCCTTTTAGTTCAATGAAATGTTACATTCTTAGGCCTTAGCGTGCGTTTTTCAGAGGACACAATTTTATTTTTTGATGTGTAAGGGAGTTATTATAAGCTTGAGTTCAAGTTTGTGGGGTCACCCGGCCGCCATCTTGAAAAAAGGGACGCATCTTGTGTTGAAGGGAGAGATGATAAGTTAAATGTATTTATTTCTGACCGGGATATTATAAGCTTATATCGTCATAGTTACGCTATCAATAAAGAGGGTCATAACTTCCTTGGGATATTGTATATTTTATAATTCCCTCTACCTTTCACAAGTAAAAATAAATAGAAATGAAAACTGAACCATATTTTATTTATTCACGTCATTACAAATAATAAATGTACAATTAGGCCCTCGGGACGCAAACTTTGCCATCGGTAATTAAGGCCCTCCTAATTCCCTTGATACATAAATAACTATTTTGGTTACTATTTTAGCGAATTATTTGTTTCTCTTGATGTCCAAAGGATCATCTTCATTTCCACCATGTAAAGAGAGGAAAAAACAGCCGCCACGACAGTGAGCAAAGATGGCTCCACTTTCTCATTGAAAAATAATGCTGTTCCGCTAGCTAACTCAGGATGTTTCTGTGATATTTTGATGAATTCAAATTTGGCTGTGTAATAAGCTGTTGATGTTGTGTCGCATCCTGAAAACGCATGGAGAAGAGAAAATTCTCTGCAATGACGTCACCATACATGAAACCTGAAGGACAGTATAATTGATCAGAACTACGCCCCTTTGAAGGTTTTGGAAGAAAAACATTGAACTGCTTCCTTCTTGATGACGTGAGCAAGACAAAAAATGTCAATGTCATCTGCTACGATAGTCACAGAATCATGAGATTTGGATGCAGCAAGCGCAGAACGGACGATGACTGTATCTGCATCTGATTTATCCTGTTCTGACTGAAACCCACCTCTTCTAGAGCAGTTTTGAGAAGGTCTATCCAGTTTGTTTGTTTTCTTTATTACCAAGACATTTATTTTGCATCAATCTGTCGATTGGTGCTTTTTCGTGCGACGCAAGCGCTTTGTTTTTGGAGTAGCCATCGAATATTAAACTTGCAGATAGTCCATAGTGTTCTTGTACATACAATTTCGATCCCAAATAAATATATAATAGAAAACTAAGCCTAATGGTACGTTTTTTTTGTATTCTTACAAGTATCCAAAAACCCAATCAACTTTGGAGCATTGCAAAATCCAGATAAATTGATGGAATTAAACAGATTTATACTGGAAATCATTTGTTGAAAACCCCTATATCAGATTGCTCTGACGCCATTTTATTGTAAAATGACCAGAAAAAAGTTATAATGCCCGAAAGAAAATTTGTTCAAAAACTTTCAGTTGTTTTTGTTCATATTTTTTTCATTTTTCAAATATCTCATAAAATTTTCTGTAGAGATGCCAGTTTACGAGATGAAGCGCGAAATTTCTTTCCACCCCTTTTTCCAAGATGGCGGCCGGGAGACAAGGGTTGCGACCCCTGAAGCTGAAACTTTAGCTTTTACTTATCACTGCTACACATGAAAAAAATTAAATTACCTCCTTTGAAAAACGCAACCCCAAATGTAACTTTGCGAGGTTTGGTGATCCAAATAATATTTTCAATTTTTTTATATCAATTGGAAAAGGGATCAAAATATTTTTCGTAGATAAACAATTTATTTTTTTGCAGAATCAATACAAAAATCAATCAATATTTTTTATTTTTTTTTAATATGTCTGTGGTTGTACGAGTTTCATGTACCTATGCTGTCTGTTACATATATTTTTAACGTTTTTTTAACATGGATGAACTAATGTTTGAGCCCTGATGATGGATGTAATAAAGTCCGAAATGTTTGGCAAAAAACTAAACTGTTCATCTATATGAAAATTTTTTTGATCCCTTTCCCAACTGATATACAGTGTGACCCATTTTTAATGGAAACACCCCCCTAAAATTTGAAGTTGTAAACCGATTTTAATAATTTTTTTTGAAATGTCAAGTACTAAATGGTCTACCTTGGGACAAAATTTGAAATGTTCTTTAAAGTTTCAGGGCATACTACGATGTTTTTTCTTAGTCGAAAATCGGGATTTTTTATTAGCGATTTTTTTATTGACAAAATCACTACGCCACTGGATTCAGAGTGCCTCTAAACAGGTGTGACCAAAATTTCATGGAAAAATATTCATTATTAACAAAGTTATGACAACTCAAAAATTCGAAAACTCACACAGCTAACAGTCACAAAAAACATCCTATTTCAACAGATATAGCCATGAGAATATTTTTTTATGATTTCAACAATAAAGTGCCGCCAGATGAAAAAAAACTAAACTAAGACCTAATATTTCAATTTAAATCTTAGTTGCTATGGAAATTATATTACAGTTTGATACTTGTGAAAGATTTAAGTGTACTATTGTCAACAATATTCACCTTACAGTTCTTCGAATTATTTTGTGTCATGGCTGCAAGATTGAGCGTAAAAGAGAACATTGAAATAGTACGCCTTTCGAGAGATGACGTTAGAAGTGCTAGAGAGGTTTGTAGAGTATAATGAGAGACATCCAGATCGTCCTCGTATTAGCTGCGGTACGGTAAATAAAATAAATACAATATTCAATGAAACTGGTGCAGTATCAAAAATGATGTTAAAAAGTAATCCTGTACAAAGACGAAACAGGAATGACAGGAATGATCAAATCATTTTAGATTATTTCGGAAATAATCCTAATGCCAGTATAAGGAATGCCACTTTAGATTTGAATATACCACGAGAAACTATTCGGAATATTAAATCTTTCAAGCCAAAATTTTTACACACACTTCAAGAAGGCGACGAAGCAAGACGCCTGGAATATTGTTTATGGGCCCAAGGGGAATATTTAAACAACAGAAATTTACTAAAAAATATTTTATATACCGACGAAGCCACTTTCACTACAAATGGAGAAGTGTCATCACAGAATTGTCGCTATTGGGCAGCGGATAATCCTAACTGGGTAATAAACTGTAAAAGCCAGTATTCCCAAAAAATCAACGTCTGGTGTGGAATATTGAACGAACGAATTATTGGTCCTTTCTTTTTCGAGGAAAACATTAATGCGCAGAGGTTCCTAGAATTTTTAAACACAGAGTTTTGGGATACTATTTACGAGCTGCCAATCAATGAACGATCAAATTTAATTGTTCAGTTAGATGGGTGTTCGGTTCATTATGCCAGAGCTGTGAGGCAAAGGCTTAACGAACATTTTCCAAACCGATGGATAGGCCGTGGTAGTCCGCGTTTATAGAGTGGCCACCCAGATCTCCAGACCTCACAGTTTTGGACTTTTTTCTCTGGGGACTTATCACACAAAAGGTTTACAAAAACCGCTCAAGAGATAGAAATGAACTTTGTGCAAGAATTCGACAGGTATGTGCAGATATCAGCCCTCAAGAACTAAGGAACGTAATCAGAAACATTCGTAAACGCTACCACACATGTATCGAATTATGCGGTGGATTAGTAGAGGCTACTAGAATATGAGTTAGAATTAATTGTTGCACTGAATCGAAACATTTCAATAATTAGTTATTAGTTACGTTTATTAAAATTTTTTGCTTCATTGTTAGTTGAATTGTGTGAATGTAATTCCGTTATTTTCATTAAAAATATTTACGCCATTTGTTTTTTTTTCATCTGGCGGCACTTTATTGTTGAAATCATAAAAAAATGATATATTGTGACTGTTAGCTGTGTGAGTTTTGGAATTTTTGAGTTGTCATAACTTTGTTAATAATGAATATTTTTCCATGAAATTTTGGTCACACCTGTTTAGAGGCACTCTGAATCCAGTGGCGTAGTGATTTTGTCAATAAAAAAATCGCTAATAAAAAATCCCGATTTTCGACTAAGAAAAAACATCGTAGTATGCCCTGAAACTTTAATAAACATTTCCAATTTTGTCCCAAGGTAGACCTTTTAGTACTTGACATTGAAAAAAAATTATTAAAGTCGGTTTACAACTTCAAATTTTAGGGGGGTGTTTCCATTAAAAATGGGTCACACTGTATAAAAAATTAAAAAACCCAAATCTAACTTTTCCAAACAATGATTGTTAATGAAGTGTTTCTTTCTAGACATGTCTTGATCTGTATTTAAAATACTACCAATGCTTCAAACGAACTAGAAAACAAATGGAAGAAGCTGGAGAGAAACCGTTTGAATGTTCGGAAATGTTCATTTTTGGAAAATTTGAGACTTTCAAAAAGCGCGTGGAAGAAATAGTATTTGTATTGAATACCACAATAAAATACTCCATTTTGCAAAAGAGTACGATTGAGGGTATAGACGTTTTCGCAAACAAGTTTATAAACTTTCACAAGAAAATATCAACACAGAAATACGATGCTTTGAATCACCGACTTCCTTATTTCGATAATGACTATAAGGAATTCAGGCAAAATGTTGTGGATACTGAATGGGAAATGGAAGAATTTGTTGGAAGTTCGCTTTCGAAAATAACAGATGTCAATAACGTTATTAGATTACTCAAAAGGTATTTCCACAATCAATAATAACAAATGTCTGCGATGAAAACATTGTAGGATATTTAACTAGTGATTTTAACAGTATTTTGTGTGCAGATTACGAAAAAAATAGTGAAAAAATTCTATCACCTATAGATAAGTCACAAATTTCACCTGAAATGTTCTTATTAAATGGGTTTTTAGTTTCGATATGGGTTCAACGTTGCTGTATTATATAGCCTATACCGACTCAGAGAAAGGGAATTTGTCTCTTTTTTTACACAAGAGGGTGATCTAGTTTTCTGCAACAATGTACCCGGCGCCATGGAAATGTTCAACATAACGTGTGAACCAGAGAAATGGAGACTTTTCATCGATTCATCAAAAGGAAGTTTAAAAGCTGTACTTCTTCACAATAGGGACCAATATGCTTCTGTGCCTGTCCGACACTCAGTCCTTTTGAAAGAATGCTACGAAAATCTTGAATTTGTTATTAATAAGCTCAGCTACTCTGATCATAAGTGGACCATTTGTGGAGACTTGAGAGTTATTTCAATGTGACTAGGTCAACAAGTGGTTACACTAAGTTTCTATGTTTCCTATGTGAATGAGATAGCCGTGGCAGGTTTGGCCAATAAGAAAGGGTCTTATCATCTTATTTCCACCACTCCATATCAAATTGGGGCTAATGAAACAGTTTGTGAAGTTTCCTGGTCTATCCGATGCTAAACTAAAAGAGGGAGTCTTCGTTGGGCCTGACATAAGAAAACTTTCAAAAAATGAAAGCTTTGTCACCAAAATGGAAATGAAAGAAAAAAATACCTGGAATTCATTCAAACTTGTTATATCAGACTTTCTTAGAAACAAAAAAGACCCAAACTACAAAACTTTGGTTGCTGAATTGATACAAAAATACAAAATGTTAGGCTGCAACATGAGTGTCAAAGTCCATTTCCTTCACTCACATCTGGACTACTTTCCCGAAAATCTAGGGGCTGTAAGTGAGGAATAAGGAGAACGGTTCCATCAAGACATAAAAGAAATGGAACCTCAATGAAAATGGAATCTCAATGGATTGAGATACCAGCCAGTTCTGTATGGACCACGCTGGTATTTTTTCCCATTCCCCACTTAATCCTTAGGCTAAGTGATCTGGAGTACACTCCACATCCTGAGCCTTATTCTATAAGCATATAACTAGGTTTTTCAAAGTTTGAAGTCAACTTGAAAACATATAAAATATTGCAAAATATAAAAAAAATTGTTGAAAATTTATTTTCTAAATTTTGATTTGAAAGAATGATAGATAAATAGATAGAAAGATTTGATAGATTAATTGACAGTCTTGAGTTTATTTCAAAGTTTGAGACCATTATCTTCAATTGACTTTCTCATGCGTCTCAGAATTTTTGTTTGGTATTCATGGATGTTATTACACATCTTGAAATTTTGTCATGATTCATTGAAATTCAAAATGATTTTTTCACTTCGAGAATGGCTTATGTTGAATCATCCAATCAAATATAATATCATTATCGAGTTGAATCATACTCTCTACCAATGTTTCATCTATACAAGAATAAACGATCGATATATCAATCGTATAGAGAATTATAAAGTTATTACTTGAGGAGGTCCACTAACATCCTTGGGGAACACCACGAGAAATTTTCATTGTTGTACTTTTTGTTCCATTGTAGCACACGTATTTGAATGATAGTTTTAAGAGCAATCCTCTGATGTCTTTTTCTTTTCTCCAAAAATATTTATGAGGATAGTACTGTATTAAATGCTTTCTTCAGTCCGATGGAACAAAAGAGCATTGCTCATCTAATTTCTTATTTTGGGTAATTTCTAGATTTGAAAAGTTGAATTTGGAATGCCTTCACTTAGATGAGAGATATCTTGAAGCGATGTTGATGTTTCAAGGAGAAATTGAGGTGCTTCGTGATAGATACAACGAGGAACGACAAACGCCACAACTACCTAGAAATATGCCTCCAGTAGCTGGCAGAATTATGTGGATAAGACACTTCTATAGTAGAATTGAGGAACCTATGAATGTTTTCAAAACTAAAGACAGGGTAATAAAAAAAATTCAACATTTACAAACGTTCTGAACGACTAATTTTAAGGTTATACGGCATGCAAAAGTCCAGAAGTGCATTCAGCTGTTCAACGCTTTGTCAATGGTGTTCGTTCATTATGAAAATATCTATCACGATGCTTGGTATACTTTTTCTGGTCAAGTTCGTAATTGCCTGATGGCTCCGATTTTGACGAAACACGAGAAGACGCGGAGGTATCACGTCAATTTCGATCCATATATAGCCGAAGTTATAAGAGAAGCCGAATACATGTATAAACTCGATCTTGGTAAGTATAGTCAGAATATCTTAGTTATTAGATGATGAATATTAAACAAAACTGGAGCCAATAGAGAACCTTGTGGCGCTCCGTACTCAAATATTCGCTTCTCACATGTAGTTCCATTTATATTGACTTCAGTTCTGCTAAGCAAGTACGTTTTCGTTGATGGTGTGTGGTTGAAAGAAGCATTCGATACGATTAAAATTGAAAATCGACGTGTTTCAGGTTTTTGTAAAACGACCTTTGGTTTTGGTAATATCGAATTTGTTCCATATTTTGTGGACACGCTGTACATGGGTTCAATGAGACCTACTTCAATGCAGTTGGACACATTCCATAAGAAAAAATTATAATAATTGAATAAGCTGTAGGTTTACTTATGATATCTCTTGGAGTTTTTGATGTTTCAGATCATATCCAGATCATATCCTGGTGCTGGCCTGAAAACATTGTTTACTTCATTTTCAGTTATTTCTCCCAAGTAAATGGTTTTTGTATATTACCTCTCTGAATTTTTCTGTACATACTCATTTTCCTTTTTCTGCCCGGCCATGATATTCCATATTTCGATAACAAACTATTCCAGCTGTTCCGGATGTGGGCCAAGTGCTTGTATTCTGTAAAGAGAAACTTCTGAACTCCTATGAAGTAGTGAAAGCACTGGTAGTAAGAAACGACACCATCAGGATGAACATTCCAACGCTCTTCCTTCCAATGATGAGGCCGCAATTGCTGAAGATGGAAAACGCTTTCATGGAGGCCTTTTCTACAATCACGTGGACTTCGATGAGGATCCCTGAATTCTGTACTGAAGTCACCAACGTTCTCGACTACATAGAAATGTTTGTCAAGGAAGTGAGGGATATGAAGGAGGCGCGGATTGATGAAGTACTAGAGACGTTAGCTCAAACATCGCTCGTCTATTTGCCAGAAGACGCCATTAGCCCTAGCACATTTCTGGAGAAGAACATCAAACACAGACAAAAAATAGGTAATTACTCATCAGCTTGATATTAACAGTGTTAAAGGGCCGAACATAACAGAAGTAGGCTTTCATTGATCTCTTTGGCCATTCAATAAAATTTCTCGGCAAATATTTAGATGTAAATTTGAAGTGGAATACACATCACGATCAGGTGTGTAAGAGACTCAATAGAAGTTCTTATGCAATTTTGCAGCTGAAGAATATATTTACACTAGAGCAATTAATAAATGTGTACTATGCTCTCTCATATTCACATATTTCTTATAATATTGTCCTTTGGGGCCAATGCTCGCAGAGGTTTCATCAGTCAAAAAAGACTAATTCGTCTAATATTTGGCTTAGATTACCGAATGGCGTGTAGGAATCATTTTGAAAACGTTTAAATTACTGACGGTACTGTCGATCTACATTTATAAAACTGTAACATATCGAGTGGTCCAACGAAAAGTATGCACCTTGCTTTTCTCCTTTTATTGTAACTTAACGCAAAAATGCTCGGACAGGTCCATTTTGCTTTTGAGGAGGGCACATTTTAGATGTATTTTTCTACCTGTGCCTTCAACCCCCTAGCGAGGGTGAGTAACAATCCTAAAATTTTAAATGGAAAGTGGGGTCGAGTGATATATCATTTGAAAGGGCACAAAATTCTCTTTCCAACGATACCTAGTTTGTTGTATTTACTTGAATAGTTATAAAAAAAGCAGGAACATTCACTCGACATTTTTGGTGTTAATGAAAATGCGGAAAAAAACGGCATTTTTATCACTACTACATCCCTCAATTCCTCTCGTGCGTTTTTTGGTTCAAATAACAACAGCAGATAAGTGTACAAAAAGAATTTAGGCAAACGTTCATTGATTCAGTTCGGTTGCTTTTGAAATTATTAATATTAAGAGCCTATAAATTTCATCCGTACAAAATTAAATTAGTACAGGAACTCAATGAAGATGATCCTGCAATTTTGTGAACAACTGAGCCAGCTACTAATTGATGATCCGCACCTATCATTCAACACGTGCTTTTCCGATGAGAGTACATTTTTTTTGAATGAAGCTGTGAATAGGCATAATTGCCTTTTCTGGGATGACAGTAACCCACACTTATTCCGAGAGGTCCATACCCAGTACCCTCAAAAAATCAATGTCTGGTGTGGCATATTAGGTAGTCATATCGTAGGGCCACTTTTTATTCTTGGGAATTTAACTGGTGAGGTCTACCTGAACATGCTTGAAGATACAATTGATCCTCTCATAACAGAAATAATTGAAAATGACCAAAATCATGATGGTGATCGGCTTCATTTCCAGCAAGATGGAGCACCTCCTCACATGTTGCTCCGGTGAGAGAGATTTTAGATGACCGGTTTTCTGGACGGTGGATTGGAAGGAGAGGCCCCATCGAATGGCCTGCCAGGTCACCTGATTTATCGCCTTTAGACTTTTTCCTTTGGGGACACTTGAAAAATAAATGTTTTGCTACGCAGCCCGAGTCCATAAAAGATCTTCGCCAACGAATTACAGCAGAGTGCAAAAGTATAACACCTGATATGCTACAGAATGTTACGAATAGATTTGAACAAATGGGTCACATTTTCAGCAAATGAAAGCAAATGGGTCACATTTTCAGCACTTGCTGAAGTAGGATTTTACTAAGTCAATTACACATTTTAAAGTACTGGGTTGTAGTTGTTTTTCTTCACAATACCTACATGTTTGAGTGGAATACAACAAATTAGGTATAATTGAAAAGATAATTTTGTGCCCTTTCAAATGATATATCACTCGACCCCACTTTCCTTTTAAAATTTTAGGGTTGTTACTCACCCTCGCTTGGGGGTTGAAGGCACAGGTAGAAAAATACATCTAAAATGTGTCCCCCTCAAAAGCAAAATTGACCTGTCCGAGTATTTCTGCGTTAAATTACAAAAAAAAAAGAGAAAAGCAAGGTGCATACTTTTCGTTGGACCACTCTGTATGTTAAAATTCTGACTCTCGACTCTCATGCCCATGCTACGAGGCATGGTGACTTATTTAGAAGTATAAAGCACTGTACATCGCAGTCCTAAATATAATGGAATACGATTTTTCAATCATCTCCCAAGTGATATCAAAAACGGAAAAAATATTTTCATACACTTGAGAAAGCTACTATGCTAGCGAAACGTGTGATTATATTTTTTCAAATAAAGTTTGTCGAGATTGAATCGTAAGGTGTAGTTTTTGAATACAGAAAAAAATATTAATAAATTCAGAACAAGATTGAAAAAATAATTAGTAGAATCCTGCTTTTAAGACATTAGTTAATATTTTGCTAATTTGATTTGTTGTTTGCTTCTTTGTATGGACGGTATGTTTGAAGTAATTACCTATATACCTATGGTGTGTGTACCCATGTGTACTTATATACAGGGCCGTCGCCATGGGGGGGACGGGGGAACTTCTCCCCCTGCTTTTTCGATTTGGGAAAAAGTTGGGAAATTTTGGGTCGTGAAGATAGAAAAAAATAATAGTAAAAAAATGAATAAAAATTAACCCACCCTATATGTAATAAATATCAGGTGATATCTCTCATGATTGTTCCGAGAAACGAAAGTTTGTCACTTTTGCTTCTTATAGATTTACTCAGCCATATTTTTAACATTGAGATGAGGTCCAGTTTTCTGGAACTCAAATTCTATCCGTTTTGAATGAATGGAATGTGAACAACCAAAAATTGCCGCAATATTCAGAGTGAATAAAACATATAATTTTTCAAATGTTGTTTCACGCTAGAACAATCGAAAGACAAAAATTATTTTTGAGACACTCGAATGATGTCCCAAAAATCGATTGAAATATTACAACATCCAAAAAATGTTTCAGTTTTTGATATGTGATTTCTTTACAGCCAAAGAAATTGAACTGAAGTCTTCTACTGTGGAGAGGTGTGTTATTGAACTAATAAATAAGTTTTTGAGTGTGGTCGATCAACCAGAGCTTCAGAAAAACAAATACAATTGGTTGGACCCCGAAAAGGCGTTGAAACCAATCAGTTCGACGTCTAGGCTGTTGATGTCTGAAGATGCAGGTACTCTTTCAACAAAGTTTCGAATCAATTCAACATATTGAAATTGCTGTCAATTTTAGCATTTAGAGAAATAGACCGGAATGCTCCATTGGATCTTACATTTATTCATGCCGATTGTTCCGAAATGTTCTCGTTTTTCAACATGAAACTAGTGGACGCCCTGATAAAATCATCAAAACTGTCACTGGAGCAAGTGAAGAAGAGAGCCACTGGGTAAATAATAATAATAACTTATTCACAATGGTTTTGAACAAATTTTTCATTACAAAAGCACTGAATATATCGGTAATGTAAGAGAACGTAAGAAGGGCTTGAAAATGTCTCTAAAATTCCGATTTTGAAACTCGTAATTTCAACTTCGATCACGAAATTTCAACTTTAATTTCGAAATTTCAGTTTTGAAGCCGGAATTTTCAAGAAACAAATAAGAAAAGTATGTGGGTCTTCTGCGCTTCCGTAGTAATGGGCCAGGATGAACTAGATTTTTTTTCTAGAAATCTCTAGTGACCTTTTTTCACGAATCGAAAAACTGTAGGGATTCACTGTCAAAAATCACCTTGATGTATTTGTGATTAAGAAAAGTTCATTATTGATTGTCCGATGTTTCGGGGTTCATTAGCCGTGGAATTTATGTTTTTATATTTGGCGTTTCGCGTGCTACTGCCGCAGACTTTATCAAAGGTGATGCCGCAACAATCGACGTTTTATTATTTGGACCAACCTCCAAGTGATCAAATATTTCAGAGTCCATAAACAAAACAGTCAATGACGTTAATACCCAGTTGATGGAAGAAGCGAAAAATCTTGGAGTCATCCTTGACGACACTCTCAGATTCAAAAAGTACTTAAATAACTTGATACGACGTGCATATTCTTCTTCAAAATTGGCATATGGAGTTAGGCAATACCTTCCACTGAAATAAAATTTAATATTATGTGAAGCACTAGTTTTATCACATATTAACTATTGTAATACTGTCTATGGGTCACAATTGAGGAGGCAGTATAAACGCAAAATTCAAAACATATTAAACTCTTCAACGAAAGTCATTTTTTGTGGAGGAAAAAATCAGTTTTTTATCTACCTTTTTTTGGATAATTGTTACCTTCCACAATCTGAAAAAATATAAAAATTATAATGGATAACTTTATACAAGTGTAGAAGGGCAAACTTTTTAGTTTACCCCGATAAGTTACTGCGTAAAAATCAAAGTATTTGTCACAAAGAAAAATCTTCTATTTATTAGTAACTTGTCGTATTTAACAATTTTGTCTATCAAAAAAATTATTAAGAAATAATACTTATCTTTTACGTTTCGGAGGCCAAAATCTGCCTCCGTTTTCAGAAATATTCGAATATATAAGCAGTTATTCCTTTTTTGAGAACTTATTTCTTTACTTCTTCGACAGATGTCAAAGAAGTTTTGACATCTGCCGATGCTGATGATACCACCTTAATCTACAGTGGAAATAGTATCAACAAACTAACAGAAATATCGGAAGACATTGAAAATAAAGCTAATACTTGGTTTCGAACAAATAATTTGAAATTAAATACCAATAAGACACAACGTCTTCAATTCTCCACTGTAGGCCCCTCAAATGATAGCGTGAAATTGCTTGGCATAACACTTGACAATGCTTTATCTTGGCATCAACATACACATCAGCTTAGGAGCAATTTATCCAGCACTATTTATGTTCTACGATTTTTCATTCTCACATTGGTTATGGGATTGTTCTTTGGGGAAACTCACCTGGTTCTCTCAATATCTTTAGGTTACAAAAGCGAGCCATTCGAATATTGGCAAATGTAGGTTTTCGGGAACCGTGTCAGCCAATTTTCAAAAAACTAGGTATCGTGCCTGTACCAACGTTATTCATTTTTCATGTTTTGCTAGAAATCCACAGAATTGCGAGTACCTTACCAAAACGTTCTAATATTCATCAGTACCGTACGTGATACGCTGAAAAGATCTGTACAAATCGATATCGCCTAGCTAAATCACAAACAAAATTCTTTGGATTACAACTTATATAACTGTTTACCAGTCAAGCTGAAAGATCTTAGTATGAATAAATTCAAACAATCCATTAAACAACTACTATTGGAGGGCTGCTTTTACTCTGTCTCTGATTACCTGGGGTATTTTAAAAATCGCTTCTAAGTCTCAACATACAAGCAACATACTCATCTGACTACCGTAAATATGCTACATCATGTTGTTCTTTCATGTTTTTAATGTTAATCTTCATGTTGCTCTACTTTTTATCTTAAAATATATTTTATACTCATCCGATCTGAAATTACTTTTGTTATGACTTGCTACAAACATGTAAAGTGTAATGTGGTTAAATAAACTTCTATTCTATTCTATTTTATTCCATTCCATTCCATTCCATTCCATTCCATTCCATTCCATTCCATTCCATTCCATTCCATTCCATTCCATTCCATTCCATTCCATTCCATTCCATTCTATTCCATTCTATTCCATTCCATTCTATTCCATTCCATTCCATTCTATTCTATTCTATTCTATTCTATTCTAAATTGTTTGGGTGATAGTCACCGAGGGGTGGGGGAAGAGGTATGACAGTTGAGGTTATGATAGGAAGATGTCCCTCTTAGATTAAAAATTGACGTGTTTTTGAATTTTTTTCAAAACACATGTGTTTTGAAGATATTCGATCTGTTTTGTTTTCGGTGTCCCACCCTGTATATTATTATCATTGTTCTTGTGAGCGACTGAGCGTATGACTTTCTTCTAAAGGTGTTTCTCCGTTCACACATATATTTAGCTACCATCTCTTTCTTCAGTTTATCTGGGGAACTAAATCCTCTGATGAAAACAAGTATGGTTCTACAAATACCGGTATCAAAGATCAACCCAAGTTTAGATGAAATCCATAATTACTTCTCACAAGTTTTAAGCAACACTTTGGATACTCACAAGTACGTGTCAATGTGGGGACAGGAAAAAGCGAAGAAATCATCTATGAAAAAAGGTAGTTTTCAGGAAATTGAATCAAAGAAGATCCAATCCATTGCGATCCAATCGATTTTTTATCAAATTTTGTGTTCGTAGAGATGAAGACAGTTAAGATAAGAACAAGAAATTACTTCAAAGTAATCAGCGAGAATAAAGAAATCATGCGGATTTTTATGAGTCTGCAAGGTGTGATGTATTTAGTTCAACCAGATGTTGTGAGTCTGCTAGAGGTGAGTATTTTCATTTTTGAAGAACACATCACTGGAATACGTTTGAATTTTAGAGATACTTGGAGTACAGTTACTTGTGGGCTGAAGACAGAGACAAACAAATAGAAGATTTTTGCGAGCTGAATCCGTTGATTGTGGAAATCTCTGAGAAATTTCAAGAATACGATGCTAGAGCAGAGTACATCAAACAGCTTCCAGATAATCATAATTTGGGGCCTATTCAAATAACTATGGGTAAAATTAATATTTATCGAAATTTTGTGTAATTTTGAAAATCCATCTCATAGAAACGTATAATCTTCTATAATGGCTCAAAAGTTGAAAAACTTTCTATATCTGATTTGGGATGATATCCCATTTCAATTGTAGATCAACTTTTAGATTTTTTTGGATAATTCCGCCGTCCAGAATCTGAAAAAGGAAGTAATCGACTAGATACACGTATTAATAAAATATTCATTTCATTTTCTGTTAGACAGAAAGTATGTTGGTATTTGTGAGGCAACATTGAGATGAACTAGGATATTCTTTCATACACCTCTATGAAGGTCTCCATAACAATTTTTTAAAAGATTTTAAGCTTGAAAATACAAAAAAAATGTTGAAAACTTTCAGTTCCTCAAACAAGTGACCAAGTACTAAGTTTTCAATCTATGTTTTTTCATGAAAACATGCGTATTTAAATCGCTTGTGAGTGAGGAGGCATATGTTCTCTTTTATGAACAGGAGGAAACGAATCAGCACCTTTGAGGCATTTTTTCTTTTTTTTTATGAACCAAATTCTGTCAATTTATTCATATCTCATAATTCCTCTGCTTTGATTACTGTATTGTTATATTTATATTTCCACCAGTAATATGGAAGTGTTCAATTTCCATATAGTCTTTGTCAACTAAAATTACTTTTTAATATTTTTCTGCCAGTGGCATCTTCTTCCGTAATATTAGATACATCTTCTTTAACTAGCTCTATTACCTTCATATCAAATATTGGAAAATTATTTCCACGCCTGATACTTTGTTTCAATTTTCCCCAAATCAACTCGATGCGATTGAAAACACAAATAGAGGGGGGAAGGCTCAGTATGGTGTGTCCATACTTTTCAGCAATACTCTCAAGGGCATACACTTTTTCAAATGTTTTTGTCTGTGAAACTTCAAGTAGTTGGTTTTTGGTATAGTAATCTTCAAAATACAAATTGTTATCCATTAAAAAACCGAACCGAACCGAAGTACCGAATTTTTATTCGGTACTTTGTTGATCTGACGCGAATGATAGGAAGGGTTGTCAAGAAATATTACACTATTCGCATCAAAATTTTTGATCAATGTGTTTTCAAACCATTCCTCAAAAATATTAGCTTCCATATTCTTATGATAGTCATTATTGCAGTCCTCGAGTTTTTTCCACATAATTCTACATGCAGACCTGTTAGGCGTACACATTCTCGAACCATCAGTCCACTCTTTCGTAGCTGTGTCGTGAGTGTCATACCAAGTTTCGTCCACATAGAGAATTTGCCGATGTTCTTGTCTAGGTTCTTGTCTAGGAATAGGTCCACTATTCTTCTGCTTTCCATAACTACTTGACGTTTGTTTATTATTTTAAATCTAAATCCTAGTTTCTTTATCCAATTCTGAAGAGTTTTGTCACAGCAGCTCACGTTATGGCCGGAAGTATTCAATTTCTTCCTTATGATTTCAGTTGTAGGAATTTCATTGCTTTTGTAACAGTCGTCTATTGTTTTTTCAATGATTTTATTACATGAATATCTAATAAGGTTAGTTTTTGATTATTTTACGTACAGTTGAGAAAGGAATTTCGGTCAAATCTGATGTTGCTTGTAATAGTTTGTTTACCTCGAAATAAAACTTGCGATGTAAATTCTTACATAGGTACATTCAAACATACTCTCTGTGTTTCAATATTCAAATGTATCCGAATCTTATTCACTGGTACCTCTTTTTTGCATTGTTCACCATCGCAATTGGATTCACTACACAGAAAAAAGTCTGCGTTGTTATCACACTCGTTATTACTATTAGTACTTGTCCAAGGACGCCACATTTCAAACAGATAGCAAAAATTTTGAGTAATTATAACTGCATCAATACCGAATTTCAACACTCAAATCGCGATAAGTTCCTGAACTGAACATTGACAACACGACTTTGAGGCGCCGACACCTTTAACTTTGCACAATACCGGTTACTTCGACTATACAAGGAATGTTTAATATATTTCTAATCACTTGAACTTCAGAACTTTCGAATGAATGGAAAACTAATTTTAATTCTCCACAGATCAATTCAAATTGGCCTTATTGGTGGAGTCCGACGCTTGGAAACATATCATGGGCAAAAAGCTGGGGCAAAGATACAAAGAAAAATTGAATTCAATGGTGGACTTCATTAAAATGCAAGAAAAGATCTTGAACAAACCAATCAAGGATTTAGACGACTGCCGGTAAACCAATATATCTTCACTTTTAACGAAATTGATCCACATTTTTGCAGACTGAGTATTACTGAAGCTTTTTCCAACATCAAACCGTTATTTCAACACCTAGATACGTGTTTCTATCACCAAGTGACCATCTTCAAGAGGAAGTTTGAACTTCCTCTTTGGAAGTTTAAACTTTCTCTTGAAGGTGGTCACTTGGTGATCGAAACACGTGTCGAGGTGTCAAAATAACGGTTTGGTGTTGGGAAAAAACTCCAGTAATATTCATTATTACAGCAAAGGTTCCTAAAAGTGCATTTTTTGCAGACTGGCAATGCATTGCCTGGAAGTTATCAGAGAGAACTTCATTGAAATGGATATGGATCTGGGCTTGATGGAAGAAGCCTACGGAACGTTTGCCAGATTTAAAATAGATGTCTCGAAGGATGATATTGAGAGAATCGAATCTCTTAGGTTCAATTTCCAAAACATGGTCAACCATGTTAGTTGCAACATTCCACAATTCACACTAACAACTCATTATATTTTTACTTTGTTTCTAGTCTAAAGTGGTGCAAGAAAATATTTGCGACGTGCAGGGACCACTTTTAGAAGAATTAACAAACGGGGTGGCAAAATTCGGCGAAGAAGTTGAACAGTTTGATATAGACTTCGAATTAAAAGGTCCGATGATACCGGGTTTGTCAGCACGAGAAGCTAGCGACCGAGTCTTAGCGTTCCAAGATCGTTTCGATGAGCTGTGGCGCAAATTTGAGATGTACAGCAGTGGTGAACGACTGTTTGGTCTCGAAGTTAAAGACTACCCAGTTCTGCACAAACGAAAGAAGGAGTTCAATCTGCTGAATAAGTTGTACGGTCTTTATTTGGCTGTAAATCACAGTATCGATGGTTATTTCGATATTTTGTGGAGTGATGTGGATACTGAGGTCATTTTCGCCGAGCTACAGGATTTCCAAAATAGGTATTAGGTTAATTTTACTAGTTCGGACTTACATTGTCTGATATGAGTCGAAATGTATTGCCCTACTAGATCCTTTCTCATACCGCACTGTAACTTCCACTTGACTGTGTCGCTGCTCGTGGCTAGCGTTTATATATCGTAATCGGAGGCGGTAGAAACTTCAGTGGAATTCCATCAAAGTCGGTAGCATAATTCTCGTTACATCTAGAGCGGCAGCAAACATCATACATTCGCGCGCTCTTAGCTACGTCACAATTGGTTTATGGCGCCAGTGGTGGCCGGCTTTATTTTCTTTGTGGCATGATTTACAACAGTATTATAAACATTTTTGAATGAATGGAAATTGAAGAAGATTCCGAAGCATGGTTTTTAGATTTTGAAAAAAAAATTCAAGTCAATATTACTTATAGGAAACTGTCATTCATGAATATATTAATCATTTTCATTTCATGTAAATAATTAATTCTGGCAAAATAGATTCCTGATTTGTCTGGAAATCAATAAAAAGATTTTTTTTTTAGATTTCTGCAATATTTTTGTTAGAGCTTTAACCTTCTTGCATGTACAAACAGATAATTTAAAACCATTATTTCACATCTCTCATTACACCAATATGATGTATAATTTTTAAATTGAATGGATAATTACGATGCGATAAGTAACTTTCTGATGCAATTTTGAATGAATAAATTCAAAATAGATAACTATCGTTTATTTTGTGTGTTTTAAGATGCCGGAAATTGCCCAAAGGAATGAAAGATTGGCCCGCGTTTCAAGAATTGAAGAAGAAAATTGACGATTTCAGTGAAACCTGTCCATTACTTGAGCTCATGGCTAACAAGGTATTTTTTGATAGTTGCGTTTTCCAATAAAAGAATTTCAAGTAGTATAAAGTGTAAAAAGGGCAGACATGTTTTGTTTTATCAGACATAATAAT